ACGAGGAGGGAATGGAATTCACTATACGCACTCCGGAAGGATTTCTTGGACGTATCTATACATATGGGTACTATGACCGGTACGTACAATGTTCACATTGTATATTTGACAGTATAATGTTTCTTCAATTACTTATATGTCACGATTTTTTAGATGCTTCTTCCGCGGCAACGGTGGCACTGTAAATGTGCTACGCATCAGCGGTCCACAAGGCTATCCCGATTGCGGCACCCAAAGAGTATACCAAATTTAAATCTCTTTATCTCACTAACTACCATTACAATGTCTTCATATTCCAAGTAATTTAATTATATTTGCAGTATGGCGACACGCTGACCAACATTGTTGTTGTGCAATTTTCTGATAATGTGCAGACCAGTCGTGACAAACGATATAATTTAACTTGCGTCTTCCGTGGACCGGGGGAAGCAGTTGTCACTTCCGGTTATATTGGTGCAGGGTAAGCCAGACGAACTGAAGTGGTCAGTTGTAGAAACCGATGAATTCTGTAGCATACTTGTAGGCGTATATGAAGTTTCACAATTGTGTAGTGAGTAGTTCGCCAACATGAGCGGTTACTCTATTTGTCTAAAAAAAATTCGTTTATATAAATCTGTAAAGCATATTGTGTTGGTATAAGCCTTCATCACGTCCCAACTCGAAAAAATTTTTAAAATAATTGTTGTACTACATATTATAGTAAATCTCGGATTTGCAGAGGGAAAATTGTATATAAATGGCTCCTTAATTGAATGATTATTATCGGCAATTTCATTAACTTCTGTCTGATATGATATATACGTGTCATATAACTGATAAATGATTAACCCATATGGCTAGTCATTTAATTTTTTATCCAAAATTATCTTCTCTTCTTTTATATGTACTCACAATAGAATTAGATTTTATTTTGTACCGAATACTTCTTTCAAATATGTTTGGAACCAAGTTTACGACGCATGCGGTAATCTTATAGCACACTCACTAGTTAATCTGCACATTTGCTTAGCTAGTCGACTGTCCAATCTCTATTCATAAGGCTGAACACAAGTGAGACAAAGGTCTTTGGTTTCACTATGGTCATGGCCACAATATACATTAATTTTAATTAGCTCTCACTAATCCCGGTATCTTGCTTTATATGTAACACAACGAAGTGATATGGAAACCAAGATAACGAGAGGTCTTGTGTTTTTGTTAAACTTTGTTGCTTCGGAAATAATATGTTTCTGTATGAAGTCTTTCTGAATCCGATAGATCTGGCAGTCCTATACCCATTGAATACCTTCCTGCGGAGAATACACTAAGTTCTAAAGTCCGTCTAATGATTCTCTATCAAGGACGCCCAACAACCACGATAGCAGTGGGAGACCCACTGACTTTCCGACTGGAGGCACAAGATGGTTACAATCACGTAACTGATATATTTGCCACTAATGTAGTGGCACGTGATCCATACTCGGGTAGAAGCATACAACTTATTGATAGATTTGGGTGAGTGGCCAATAATCATATTGAGAGATGTGTATTTGCTATCTCCAATTACAGCTGCCCTGTGGATCCTTATGTGTTTCCCGAACTTGATAAACTGCGTGATGGGGACACATTGGAGGCGCGTTTCAATGCCTTCAAAATACCCGAGTCAAATTTCCTTGTATTTGAAGCTACAGTTCGCACTTGCCGTGATGGTTGCCAACCTGCTTATTGTCCAGGTGCAGCTGGTCGGCAGGAACCTTCTTTCGGACGGCGCAGACGTTCACTAAATTTTACCGATGTTGCAGAAATCGAAACAAATACCAAACCTGTATCTGAACGTTTAATTGACGAATTCTCTGAAGTTAATAGTACCAAAGTATTGGGTACGATTGGAGACTTTAACAAGAGTAAGGAGCTTTTTATATAAAAACCAATTGACAAAGTATATATATTTTTAACCCCAATGGTGTCATTTATAGCGATTACAAAAGATGACAAGTCCAATGAGGAGTTAGAGGAACCAGAACAAGTGCGTGAAATGATTGAGGTAAGTTTTGGCAAATATGAATCTTGTCGTCATATGCGCATGCGAGGAATTGCCAAAGAGATCCTATCTTTCGCTGAGTTGCATTCAAATTTCAGTTTTGAATAAATGTATTATAAAATAAGGGTACTCATTTAATATGGCATTTATCTAATAGTCGCAAAGTGGCAAAATGGTAATTTGCCATGAATGCCGCAGAAAATAGTGTCTGTATTTGCAATTTTGTCGCAAAATAAATTGCATGTAAAAGTGAAAAGCAGTTTCGCGATATTACCATTTTGCGCAGTTTGGAATAAATGCCACAAGTTTGCGACATTAAATGAGTACCACTAATTTAACCAAATAAAATCATAGTTTTTAACATGAACAACTATCCTTAGAATCAAATAATAAAGTATAGTAAGTATTGTTAGTTCCTAGTTATTTGGGAAAAGGACAAAGAACCCAAGCAAAACGGTTGTATTTATAACCTAAAACTAAATGAGTTAGATATGGACTTATATATAAATGATCAGAATGACGAGACGAGTTGAAATTCGGATAACTGTCTCTCTGTCCGTCCGTCGATGCAAGCCGTAGCTTATGTAAAAAATGAAGCTATCTTGGTGCAACTTGGACGCCCACAAAATGCTATTAATCGAAAACCTATACAACCATACAGAACCTCTGGACTAACAATTTCTCATATAATACAATATATATTCCTTTTAATTCTTTCACTTTTCAGTACACAAATCACGAAGCAAATGATAGAACGGGATAAGCTTTGCACTATTAATTCATTTAAAATGCGCTACCTTATGACAAAAATTTTCCAAATCCACCCAAAACTATTTAAACCCCCAAATACCGGAAATGTGGGCTTCAGAGTCTATAGATGACTTTTGACTGAAAATTACGGTCAATGTATGGGATTCAAAGAAAGTCCTCTCCTGAGAACAGCATCACTGTGTATTAAAAATTTCTTAGCTCTCATATACTTAATCCAACGATTTTCTTACTTCCGATTTACTTCATACCGTATATATCGTCCAATATATGACTTGTCTCAATGAAAATGAAGGATGTGTTTGCCTAAAATATATAAAGTTGGGAGAAAACTTGACTTAGCCCCTTATAAATAATATCAGAAATTTCGAACACCAATCTTACTTTCTTTCTCGAACCAAAATTTTGTAAGATTATAAAATGTTCGGCTATACCCGACCTTAGTCCTTCCTTACGTGTTAGTATTTAAATTGTTTTTTTCGCGACATTGAAAATGCAATCTTGTGGGAACTTATTTATATACATGCTTATTTTTTATTATTATTATTGATAATGTCAATATATACATGCTTATTTATTATTATTATTGTATCAATATGAGAACACTTAAACATAAATGATTAGCTTTTATTTTTGATTGCATTTTTTCTTACTTTCCATTGGTGAAGGTATTTGAGACTCGTGAGGAAATCGAAAAGGACTCTTACCCACGGAAGCTAGTTGCTCCGATTGAGACCGTGTGCATGACACCCTCCGAGTATCATGGCCTTATAACAGCAATTATATTACTTATGATTTTGTTATTCAGCATCACTTTGGTCTCCGGCTTAGCTTATAGGTACGAGCAAATTGACTGAAAACTTAGTGAATCGGAAAGGGTACATTTTACGTAAAATCTTTTGTTTGTTTTGAATAGACGCTACTGGAGCACGATGACGAAGAATCGAATTGCCGATCGGCACTCTCCCATACATTCTCTAGGGCAGTCCTCGATACGCACGCACGAGCGCTTCAGTGAGATCGGTCGAATGGCTAGTGGCAGTGGAAATGCAATGCCAAATCGCACTGCGAATGCATTTCGTGCGAATATGTCAATCTTTGGTGGCAGTCTGCATAAAACATTTGCCACAGGGTATGCACCTTTTTTAAAATACACATTACACATACGTATACATAGGTAATTTTTCAATAGGAATTTAGCTCGAATGTGTCAACTGCCCGTAATAAATCCGATGCGTAATAACGGAAGCACAAATCATCAATTTGAGGACCCCAGTGAACCAATATATACCGATCCATCATTGTTCGAACGCTCAAGGTTCGTAAGCTTAAATTATTTATGGTGTTGTGTTGGTTGGTGTTATGCACGAAACACATATAGATACATTAAAGCGGGTCGATTTTTCTATTAAATTGCATTAAATTAACTGCAGAAATGTTCCACGGATCATTCTGAACAACTTTGTGTAAGAGACTATTGGTCTAAAACTGATTGGTCTAAATCTGAGTAATCGGTTGTATGGTAGATACGTATGTAATTTAGTAGTGCGATCTGATCGATTCCAACAAATGATCAATAGTCTGTGGAAATGTGACTACGTATTAAGTATTATTCGGTTATACCAAAAACTAAAAAACAAACGTTTATGAGGTTTTAGACCCTAGTTTCGTAGGCAAAGTTGTTCAGAATGATCCGTGAATCAATTCACGTATACGCCACTTTTTCGTGTTTTGGCTCCCTATAAATCAACCTGCTCTAATGTAGACTACATTTAGATATTACAACTTATAAAAACAAGAAATTTTCGTGAAATGATAAGGTCGGGTAACGCCGAAAGGAAAACATTAATTGACTATGCACTCTCTTTAGAATGTTTACTTTAAAATTTTAAAAGAAAAATTTCATAAGCTGGTTAACCATTTCAACGATTATTCGTTTATATTTAGTTAAGCACTTTTTAAATTGGAAGAATTCTACACCCTCACATGCCATTAAGTACATACTATGTATATGCAATAACTTTACGTAAAATAATTTTAGAATGTGAAAATATTCATGCCATATTTTTGCGCCCAAAAACTCGAAGCTTCCGCTTAATGCCGAGAAGAATACGTGCGTTTTAGTACAAAATACAATGAATATTTAATTTTCTTCCCCAAAAATCGTGAGTGGATTTTTGAGAACCTGTATTAACGAAAATGACAGTACTCATAAGAAAAAGATGTCTTTATTTAGAGATAGTTTTCATACATATACCCAAGGTATACGCAAACATTTAAAATTATATCGAATTCCATGGAGCATTCCGCTTACATTTGCCTGCAATTACAAATGTTTGCTTTGTTGCAATAACCATCGCGCCCACCTGCTATTTGGCATCTTAAGTTGCACCAATCTCCACCCTTCTGCTCACAAACGCCCTTGAAAGTCAGAGTATTAACTAGAAACAAAACAATGATAATTACGGTTCGATTATAAATTAAACTCGTATACTTTCAAGAACTATTAGAAGTTGAAAACTTAAAAAAAATATTATTTTATGTATTTTTTTGTCACATATTAGTTCAAAATCTCTTCTCAACACATAATCCATAGGCCAACTTAACTCATATCAAATATTTATATTTGTATGCACCTTCAAATTGTGAAGCATTCGCGTCGAACCCAAACAAAAGTAAAATAACTTGAGGAAACGCGAAACCAATGCATTTTCGCCGATTTTCTACAACAAGTACTCACCAAAAATTATTTCAGCACCGTCTATGAGTATTATTTTATCAAAAGCTCTAACTTCCAGCGCTGATACGTTTCAAAGGCAATCGAAAAGATTTCGTCTTAAATTGAAGTGACATTTTAATTTGCCATTCATTATTGTTGTTATTATTCTAGTTATCTCAATAAAGGGGCGTAGTGCAGATGCGCAACTCCATACTCTTATCGAATATTGAGAACCAAACGTTAGGTTTGATAAGCATACGAGTATGTACTATATGTGTGGAAGATTAATTTTAATTTTTAGAGAGAAATAAATTTGTTAAACCCAAAAAAAGAAATTAACTTATTTCAAAACAAATTTTTCTATGAAAATTACAAAGATTACATTAGTTTGGAAAAAGTTTACAAAACTTCATTTAAATAAATTAAAAAATAAAAAATAAAAAAAGTTCAATGGCTCAGTTATATATTTTTGAGTGCTGCTTCTCTTTTAAAAAGATCAACACAATAAAATGTATGAAGGGATGAGAATAGAAAGGTAAGACGATATATTGAATACCTCCGTACATACATATTTATGGATGGCTGTTACAGAATTTAATAAATTTAAAAGAAATGTTTCTATTAATAACATACACAAGAGCTGAAGACCTGTTTACACTAGCAAAAAAACATACATTCATGCATCTATGCAATAATCTTCGAAATTTTTGAAAATGTTGACATGACCCCAATAGACCGCAATTGGAAGAGGTTGTTCGAATGCATCTACATATTTGCAGGAGTAAATCGAATTGCAATTTTTTAAATATGTAATTGATAAGTTATTTTAACAATTCTCACTATTTTCAAATATTTAATTGAGTTTATGTATTCCAGATCCTTGCGCAGCCTGACCACAGAGGGAGAAGCTGAGAATCGTCACGCAGTGTAGGACCGCCTTATAGCACATACAAAATACATAAACATAATGCACAAAGAAGAAATTAAAAGTCATTGTAGATGCAGCAGATTAAGTAAATTACAGTATAATATTGCAAACATAAGAAATGTCACTTCCGTACCGTGCTACATAACATGTTTGCGTAACAAAAAGTTACATTACGAAAATGCATCTATAGACGGTATAGACTTTGTTGTAAGTGTATTTTTGAAAGCTTAATTTTAAGGAAGCTATGTAAAATAAAATTATGCGATTTGTGTAGGTTACATCTGCAATAAAAAATAATAATAATAAAACTGAGCATAAAAAGCAATACCTTATACAAAATTTGTTGAAGAACACCAGGAAAGAAAGGGTTCGCTTGCCAAGATCAAAGCCGAGAATATACTTTCAAGTATTGGCAACACTTTAAAATCACAATTTATTATCTTATATTACTTTCTTCTTCTTCTTGATTGGCGAGCATTACCCCTGTCGGCCAGCTTATCAAGCTCTTCGTACTCACGCATTTCGGCCTCTTTCGTTTTCTGTCTGCAAATGCATCTCGCTTCTCTCTTCAACTCTCGGTATCTATCCCATCCCGCACGTGTTGTGGTTGATCGTAACGTTGCGAGGTAGGCAGCCTGTTTTCTCTCCTCTGCGACACGGCACTCCTCGTCGTACCAGCTGTTCTTTTGTACATTCCGAAAACCAATGGTTTCGGTTGCAGCTGTACGTAAGGAGTTTGAAATGCCGTCCCACAGTTCCCTTATACCGAGTTGTCGACGAGTGCTCTCAGAGTGCAGGAGTACAAGCCGAGTAGAAAATCGTTCAGCTGTCTGTTGTGATTACAGCTTCTCGACGTCGAACCTTAATTGTGTTTGATGGCGTGCGTTTTTTGCTGCACAGAGGCGCGTGCGAAAACACTGGAGACGTGTCTTCCGTCTATCACAACATGATCGATCTGGTTGGTGGTTTTTCGATCCGGAGACAGCCAGGTGGTTTGATAAATCTTCTTATGCTGGAATCTAATACTACAGATAACCATATTTCGGGCCCGGCGAAGTCGATCAGCCTCAACCCATTTGGGGATGTTTCCTCATGGAGGCTGAATTTACCGACCGTAGTGCCAAAGATACCTTCTTTGCCCACCCTGGCGTTAAAGTCGCCAAGCACGATTTTGACATCGTGGCGGGGGCAGCTCTCATAAGTCCTTTCCAAGCACTCATTAAAGGCATCTTTGGTCACATCGTCCTTCTCTTCCGTCGTGGCGTGGGCGCAAATCAGCGATATGATGAAGAACCTCGCTTTGATGCGGATTGTGGCTAGACGTTCATTCACCGGCGACGGAGTTTCTCTCCCATCACGAATCCCACCCACACCAAACTTGCGCTCCTTTATATGGCCACTGTAGTAAATGCCACAAGGACCTACTCGTCTCGCGGTGATGTCAGCTTTTATTTTTACGAGGACATCAACCAGCTGGGCAGCGACACCTTCCCAATTAAGGGACCTGACATTGCAGGTGCATGCCCTCAATTCGTAGTCCTTATTTCGTTTGCCACGGTCGTCATCAAAAGGGAGGTCTCTCATCCGAGGCTGTTGTTGCGTTTTCATGGGGGTGGTGTTTTTACGTGGAGGGTCCCAAACCCAGCGCACAACCCTATGCAAGGAATGTTTCGCCTTCTCACTTTAGCTCGCCTTCACTTTCCTCACTTGCGTGAACTTCTACACATGACTCCATCCTACATTACTACGAGTATATTTGATTCGTGTATGCGATATTTACAATAAAACCAACGTAGTTTCAAATATTATTTGGTCACTTAATTTTGCCAAGATGTCTGACATGTTGCCGATATATACGGCATAAACGCACTGGAAGTTTATATTGTTATATTAGGTTTACGGGGACTATTTGAAGTGAACAAAGATCAGATTTCGCTTAACAGTACTATTTATGCAAAGATTTATATAGCATAAAATGCAAGAACAATGTTGATACTACTAACGTATTTCTTTAGCGAGTTATTGTATTTACTTCTTAGCAAGTTTGGCTTCTACGCCCACAACGTTTATCGGTGGTACAAAATGTTGTCAGAGGGTCTAGAAGATGTGCATTTTTTGGCTCTTTACCAAACTTCTGCTCACACCACACATCGTTGCTTGTGCACGAATATTTGGCCAAAAACAACACGTTAGCGGTGCCGTAGCCATCGTTACCCCAGACCTGGCCCCCGGTGACTTGTTTTAGTGAAAGGACGACGTTACGCTACGATTGAGGATCATGCAGCACAGAAGGAGCCAAACAAGATCACACAAAATTACCTCTTTAAGTGCTTTGATGATTGGATAAAAACGCTGGCAGTTACTGGTGATTGCTTTGAATATATATATCTTCGTGAATAAATAAACACTTACAAACATACATACATATGTACTATATATTTATATGTATGTATACTAGAATAAAGACGAAAACGTTATTACAGGTATATAAATACATATAAAATATAAGGGATGGTACTTGAGTTCGATGAAGGCATCTATTATAACCTGTCGCAACATGTTGCAAGAGTACGAAAATTATCTTATGCAAAAATAGTTCACATAATTCATCATCCATGTATATACATATACAATCTTGAATACCTATGGTCTATATGATAATCAGCGATTATTATAATATATGTACATACTTAGCTTATAGCTGAAACGTGAATTTTAGAGAGTTTTGTTTGGTCATAAATAAGTAAATTGCTTAAAAAATTTTAAATTTAATTTATTTTCTTTTTGGTTACTGAAAGCATTTAGCCGCCACTAGCACGCGCCGTTATTTACATGTGTTCAGCCAACATTTACTGGGCATGTGCCAGACCGCTAACCGGTAGTACATTCACCAACAGCTCCGCAACGGCCTTTTATTAAAACATTATATATGTTTAATAACAAGAAGTGTACGAACCGCTGACTTTCTTCACAATTAATATGCATTCTTTTCACTAAGAAAAGTTTCCGGAAACCACTATTATTTTTGTTTTCGTTATTAGTAGGAAATAATTTTTCGGTGCAACGGTCGTGCATAGTTGCACTGATTATATATTATTATTATAACTCATATTATTTGGGATGTTTGTGCAGCTAAACTATGCAAGTCCGATCAAATCACGACATTACCGATCGGTTGCTAGTAAATAGATTGGCGTAGACTCCGTTGTATGAGTGATTCTGCGTTGGATTTCAAGGATTATATTGTTAGTGTTGATAATAGAGACCACCAAGGTAAATGAAATTATCTACGGCTTCAAAGTTATGACTGTAAACAATTACGTATTAGTCAAGTCGCAAATGCGCGACATATATTTAATTACGGATGACATTTCGTCTTGTCCTCGTTCACAACCAGACCCAAACTGCTCTTTTAAAAAAGCAGAACTAACGGCGGGGTTGTTGAGGCCAATTATACTAACATTATCGGGATACGCCTGAAGCTGTATACTCTTATGGAATGGGGTTGTGTGTTGTCATCTTCCTTCCACGGATCGTATCCAAGACTTGGCACATGGTAAAAATTTATTCGGTAGTTTTTGTTTTAGGTTTAAAGCTACACTTATAAGGTCCAACCAGTTTGTGTGCTTCAGTCTTTGACACATTACGCTCGATAAGACTTATATACTCTTTTTGTGGATTGGGCTGAGCACATTTAGGTTCCAATCGTCAGGCATGCTTTCATCCCACCGTATCTTGCGAAGAAGCTGATACATGCACCTTATTAGTTCTTCGCTGCCGTATTTGAATAGCTCTGCCGGTAATGCATCGACCCATGCTGCTTTGTTTGAACCCCATTATAGTGGGACAATTGAACATCTATTTGATCGTCATCGATTGGGAAAAGGGGGTAGCCATCTCGACATGTTGCACTTCCACTGCTGTTCAGCAGGCTGGAGAAGTGTTCCCTCTATAACTTTAATATTGTTCCCTATATAACTTCATTATTTGCGATATCTGGTCCAAACAAAAGCATGCTTATAAGTGTACATGTATTTATTGGTTATTGATCTACCGTGATACCAAGCTATGTTAATAAATATAGCAATATCTCTCCTTTGGGATTAGTCTCTCTAGGTCTTTCAATAAGCCACAATTAATTTCCGAACTCTACATGACTTACTACTTTAGCTGAAATGTTTCTGCTATTCGTATTTGGATATTATGCAAGCAAATAGATTAATTCAACGGCTACGTTGAACACAAGTGTAGCAATTGGTATTATATATACATATATACATACATATTTGGAGATTAATAAAATAATTTTAATATTTTTAATTATATACAACAGTAATTCAGATAATTTTGGCAAAACGGTTTCCCCACACCCTACACCAGTGACATAACATGGTGATTCTGTTAGGTGCGCAAGAGAACAGGAAAAGGAAGAAGGTAAGAAGAGTTGCCCACTATGTTCATTTATTTGCATGGTTCACTTTTCTCAAGTGTCAGGCAGCATGACTCACATAATTTTATCTTCGTTGGCTTTGTGGGAGCGCACTTGAAGCGCTAAAGCAGCTATTGGGACGTCTTCTTGCTGACGTTGAAAGAAGACACGCGCATATCATCGCTTAAGCGCTTTAACATAAAACATTTGACGAAAACAACTGGTGGTCGACTGGTGGTTTCATTTGCTCGCCCATTACTGCACTTTCAAAATTGCGAGCGGAGCAGACCATGCTATCAAGTCCAACAACAAAGCACAGCGTACACATTTCGAGCTCGTTATGCAAGCGCCGACGCCGTCGCCGTCGCCGTCGCTGTCGAGCACAAATGCATTTTATAAACGCTACACACCAAATGTAAATAGAACATTCGAACGGGAGCATTGCATGAGGCGAGACTGCAACTGGTGTTTAATTATAATAAGCAATAAACTGGCGCCCGTGCGAATGTGGACAATACCTTAAGTCTACCAGAATAAGCGAAGCAACGAAACAAGTTAAGCACGGCATTCGAAAGCCTTCAGCGCGGAAAGTGGAAACGGAAGTGCTTTGTGAAGTGTGTTCAGTTTAGAAGAGTAGTGATTGAAAGAAAAAAAATTTGTGCAAATACAGATTTAAGAATATTAAAACGTTCTGCATAAGCGGCCACCAGCATTTGAAATGAAAGCTGTGACTCATTATTGCTTGTACAAATTGCATGCTGAATAAGTGAAGTGTATTATATGCGAGTAGAACTAACTGAATACTGATTGCTGTAACCAAGTTTCCTTGTGCCACAAAAATACTTAGTAAAATGTCTCCACGTCATTATACAATAAAGCGGTTTCTCCAAGAATATATCATATTGACAAGTTTGGGATACGCTTTTTCCCGATCTTTGCCAAATGCAAATAAAAGACCAACTCCACAATTTGAACATCATTTTCAAAGTAATTTGGCAGTGCACCCATTTTATTACGTTCAGCCGAATTCTCAGGCTTATTGGGTGAGTTTCTGAGAATTAACTATTGTGGCATATTAAGATTAATTCAAGAGTTATAGGTATTATTTCATAAATACAATTTCACGTGAAATATGTAGGAATGAGCAGACTGAAGACCTATTATTAAATTTATACTGATATATCTTTACAGCCCCATGAGCCAGTTGGTACTTTTTTTGACAAAAAGCGTGGTATATTGCGGTCATTTCCCGGCGGAGGCGTACCAGTGTTGGTCGATCATGTAGGTGTCCAGAAAATAATATTATTAAATACCACTACATCACTATATTCACTTTGAATTTCCAACAGCACAAGCGTTGTTCTAGCAACTTTGTGGGCATTAAGCCACATCCCAATCAACGGCAATACTACTACGTTTGTAAGCCCGATTGTGTGATATTTGGAAAGTGTCAAAACCTGCAGGTAAATCATGAAATAGTTGCATATGCTTTTGTTTAAACAACAAATACCTTTAATCTAATTTTTAAAAGTCGTTCGATGCTACCAAAGCGCAGTGCATTCCGTATCCCACCCCTGACTACACTCCAGTGTGTGTAAAGCCTGGCCGCTTTCCCATTTCAACAGATTGCTCGATATACTACAGATGTGATGCAGACCTTAAAGCACACATACATTCGTGTCCACGAAATACCATTTTTTCGCCGCACAACGAAAAGTGCATATGCGGCGCTCATTGCAATCCAACAAAAGTTTCACTCCATAGTTCGTATATTCCTCAGGACTGTGAACACAAATTTCCACCATGTCTGCAAAACGGCACTTTTCGCACGCCCACGGATTGTTCTCTCTACTATACATGTGTTAGGCAAGAAGGGTCGCTCTATCTGCAAACTCGCTTTAAGTATGCAAAATAATTAAGGACGGACAAATAGCAGCATATTAAACAATGTTTACGTATTTCTTTCAGATGTCCAGAGCTAGAGTTTTTCGATCCTACAAAGGGTACTTGTCAGCCGCAACATGAAGTTCCCTGCGATTCTATACAACTATCCGAATTGGTATTTCCCAGGCCACCACCACTACCCCACCTTCCCGTAATATATTCTGCACATTATTCTATGGACTCACTGGATGATAGTGATTACCCAACGGAATATTCCCTATCTTGCTCTAAAGAGGGTACATTATATTACTAGTTCAAAGTGTTATTTATAGTTCACATTTATTTTTTTTAGATACAATCAGCGCCAGCGTTAGCTCAAACGAAAGAATGATCTCAGATTCTCCTGTACAAGCTACCACGTCTTCAAAATTTCCTGCTTCATTAACAACTTCACCATCTAAACAAATGGTTGATAAAAGCTCTGAAAATTCTATCAAAATAATTACACACACACCAAGCCCATTTCCAGCTTTTGCCTTTGGCGTAACATCGACAAAACCCGTTTCACAAACTAATTCATCGCCAACACGAAATTCGAATACAATAATCCTCCCATCAACTTCTCCGCCCTTAACAGTTGGCGATACTTCCCAAACTTCTACTAAAACCTTTGCACCTAAAGCTATTCCGACCAAAAATTCAGTGGTTGTAGGTGCTTTCACTTCAACATCTTTAAATCCAGCTATTGTGGGCTCTTCTCCTGGCATAATTTCAGATCAATCCAACTCACTAATAGATTTCGTTCCATTCGTTCCAACAAAACTACAAACCAGATCTTCCACAAGTGCGTTTTCATCAACAGATTCCTCAATACTTCACTCATCACGAACGAAACATTCTACACCACTTTCCACAACTATATCTACGTTACCTAGAGACTTCTCTATAACAAATACCAGGTTAAAATCAACTGCTGAAATAACTACAACTCCTTTAGTACCCAGTTCAATAACTCCGTCGTCGTCAACAAGTTTTTCAAGTTCTACAGCTGAAGATCGCTCTTTACCAACAAAATCTCACACTAGTACCTCTTTAATAAATACACTGCATATGAGTTCACCGGCTGTTCACTCCTCTTCCTTCGAAATAATTACAAACGGGACAGTTCCCATTTCCGCTTCGCAACCGCACACTTCTCTTCCCATAACAACTTTATTTTCACCAGATTCCACAACAACTGAAGTACCAACAACCCATTCAAGAAGTATACAAACCTCTATGCCTGCTGATCCTCCGATTCTACCTCCGGTGACTTCTAGTCTAAAAGAAGAAATAACGGCAATGTCTCCAAATATGGCACCAACTACAAATTTTTCTGTGGCAACTTCATCGTTACTAGGTGATTCTTCTCCATTGAACACTACAGAATCCATTGAAGTGACTAAAATTAAGCCAACTGTTTCTACCTCCACTTCAGGTGTGTATGAACGATGAAAATAACAAAGAAAAGTTACAATTTCTCACTTAAATTATTAGTTATCATCACCCACAAACCCAAGAATACAATAGTAATACGAAACTTTTATAACATTATTACCTTTCAAATAGAACCATTTATTAACATATAAGATACCAGATCATTCTCAATAGTCCTGCGGTAGATTTTTATTTTACTAATTACAAGACTCGTTCTAAATGACTAACAACTATGTACTATATGACCTCCTTTTCAAAGCAATGCTCTATAATTTATATCTATATTGAGATACTCTACAATACGATAAATCATAATTATTTACCACTATGTTCTAGAAATATAGTACCTTCGACAACTACGTCAACTGCCTACGACTTTGCAAAGTCAAAGTTTCCGACGACCTTAAATGATTTTTATACCCTTGCAACGTGTTGGCAAAAATCATAGGACTTGTTCATACATAAGCGTATGCGGACCACAGCCACGCCACTAAAAGAAATCGCACAAAAATATGTTGAACTGTAGTTTAACAAATTTGATTAGCTTAAATCTTTATCAACATTTTTTTATGCAAAATTATTCCGGCACCAGAAGAAATTTTAGGGTCTTTAATCTTTGCAAGTTGCAAGAGTATGAAATGTTCGGATACACCTGAACTAAGCTCTTTTTTACTTACAACATTCCACACTTACTCACTATTCATTACACTTTCTTCAACACATTATATCAAAACTTGACACAAAATCAAATAATTTCAGAAACAACACCTGACCCTATTACAAACACCTTAAACCACAATGAAATTAGAAGTATAAGATCAAGTTTAATGATCCAGCCAGTTAAGTCAAACGAAAGCAATGTCTTTGAACAAATAGTCAATAGTGAATACAGCTCCAATGAATTTCAAAACCCTGGCTTCTACGATGACTATGAATCGGATTTTGAAACCACTGAAGTTTCGACAACAGATAAATGCGTACAAAGTGGGCTGTCGAGCGATAGAAATAAAACGTTAAACGCATCAGAAAAATCAAAAAGGAAAGATACAGAAGGTATAATGAATGATTTACACGATGCTAACTATGTCAGTTATTACGAAGATAATGGAAACTCTTTGGAAGTAATATTTTCAAGCACAGTATCTGCTCTCCATGAAGAATCCATTGCGACGACCCAATCAACAAGATTAATGCTAAATACTACTGTTCGCTCAGCTAAAAGAAATGTGCCGAAACACAATTTTGAATTACATAATCAATCCATGACAACATATCAGCAATTAAATATTGAACCGAATAAACTGGATGTAATTAACGTAGAAAAACCTTTGTTTAAAAATTCATCTGAAAATTTTAGAGATGAATTGGAAACTACAACGGAAAAGATTACAGGCCCCAGAAAAATCCACAACTCCTTGAAAAATACTTCCGTAAAGCCAAACGATAAAGAACTTTCCACATACACTTGCTCAGAAATGCCTACTTTTGAAGATAGTACCGATACAGAATTGACTACTGAAGTTCCTAAAATTAACTCCCAAAGCATAAAAAAATCAACTATTATGATTTCAAGCTTCAATACTGATAATCAATTAGAAGACTCGATGAGCACCATACAACCGTTGGAAGTTGCTAACCAGAGCACCGCTAAAGAGATGGAAAGTTTTACAGAAAGTAATAAAGCTGGTCATATCGCCGCAGTGAAAAGAGATGAAGATTTAGGGGATAGTGAAGATGTAGAGTCACAGATAAGTGTCAGCAAATCACTTATGCTCAAAGAAAGTTCATGGAAGAGCCAAAATACTACAAAGCCGAAAAATTCTAGAAAAAATGCTCAAATAGTTTCAAAACTTAAAGAGAAAATGTTAAACAATAAACAAAACAAGAATATTAAAGAGATTTTTAAAGGTGATGATGACAGAACAACAAATACAAAAACAAAATCTAAAATCAATGAGCTCCAAACTTCGGCTGTAAAAAAAAAATCTATGAAGCTATATAAGCAAGACAAAGAATCAGGGAGGTCGTCAAAGATATCTGCTTTACGAACAGCAATGAAAGCAATTAAAAAAAATATAGAAGCATTAGCAATAACGGAACCAACGACATTGAAGAGACCAAGGCAGGTTAGGGATAAAATTAACAACAAATTCGAATATTCAAATGAATACTCTACTTCAAGTGAAAATCAAATTTTTATGACGGACAGCTCAGTAGCAGCGCATCTGTCTACTTTTACGACGGAAATGAAAATTTTAAAAATTACGGAAGCTCCACCAAAAGCAACAGCTGAGGCTAAAGTAGTATCAGCAGAAAACTTACACAGTAAAAATCACCATATCTCTAAGGATTTAATAGAACCTTCTATGAAATCATCATCCGACTCCACCAACACAGAAGTGAAGCTAACTTTGTGCGATAAAGTTCGATTCAATGACACACAGCAACTGACGAGTGCTAAAAACAGTACAAAGAGCGTAGAAACTATGCCAACGGAATTGTCGCTAGCGAGAGGTAAAGTAATTAAAGAACCATGCGACCTAGGCACACCACTCCCAACTCCTTTGAAAATAAGAACATATTCAAAAGAAATCGTAGAATTAAATCATAGCGACACAAACTCTATTGACACTTACAGTTCCCAGTACCAAGTTAGAGTTCCGAGTACATATGAACCTACTCGTGTTGCCGACATCGAAAATGATAGAAAATTCGCAAACTCTGATCAAATTTCAAAGCTAGTGGATATTTTGTTACCTCCAAGAAAAGATAATCCTGCACAAAATTTGAAAGTAAATCAGAGTTTAAATCCAAAAGAATTTATCAGCAAACACCACAAAAGTTCCGGAAGTGTAATGGAATCCGCTGAACCAGAAACCCCTTTGGGCAGCTTAGAAAAAAGCACTGGTCTTGTAAGAATTTGTGATGCGTTTCAGAATAATATCTCAAATGAAGGGTACAAGCAAAGAATACCTCAATTCTCTAACTCAAATTCTGACGCAAGCAGGTCATTATCGGCCAGATTACCAGTAATAAGAAGCAATGTTACTTGTACGACGCATACGAGTGATTTGCCCTTAAGCTCTTTCAAATTATTCTCAACTAAACGTTCACAATCTACTACAACACAAAATACAATGATAACATCTACAACAGAAGAGACTGTCGAGTACACAACAGTTCGAACAACCCATGTAGACATACAATTCCAAGACAATCTCGTGAATATTAAGTCCAACGATTTGCGTATAACACGAAATGTGCAAAATACAAATACACCACAAGTTACACCTCAAACTTACAAAAGGACATTTACAACGAAAACTCCAGGTTCTAATTCAAATTCTGAACCAGTTACAGAATTTCCAATTCAGGCTACCGATATACCCAAGCTTGAGGTCGTAGTCTTCGGAAACCTGGATTTAACTGTTCTTTATTGCCCCAAAGATTGTAGTAAGCAGCATGAACATAAATATGGTAAGTCTTAATTAATTCTCAATATTTTCAAACCCATATTGATAAAATAACTTACTTTTTTAGACAAAAAGGTTTTTGGTGATCAACATGTGGTCGGTATTCAGTGGGATCCAGCAAAGTCTAAAAAAACGTTGAGTATTCAAACGGTTTAGAAGCCGACGGAAAAAACATTATTGTAAATAAAGCAGTAGAATTAGAAATATTTTTGAGTCCCTTAATTAAAATATAGGTTAGTTGGTAGTTATAGTATAAAGTTAAGAAATATATACATATGTATATAACATATAAATATTATTTATGGCAATTCTAAAATAATTTATAAAATAAAGATATATAAATAAGTAATCCGTATTGAAGGAAGTTTTTCTGCATTATTTTTGTTCAAAAATATACAACGTATAAACTCCCTTGACTGACTTTCTCTGTTATCTTCTCTGATTAAAGGCACCATACACGACACACATGTGTGTTCGATCTGTATGAAATCGTTTCGCCATACACGACATACAAATCCATTTTGCGTTCGTTCTTCATATTTTTCTAATATAGCACTTTTATCTATTTATTTGTATTTCGTTAATAAGTTATTCCTACTTTTATTTTCCTCAATTTTATTTTTATATTTATCAATTTTCGATGGCTCAATTTCCAATTCATGTTTTATAAGATCAATAAATTCCGATACGAAATCTTTATTAAGAGGGAGCCTACTTTAAAAGCATCAAAAAAATCGATTTTTCTTTTTTTTGCTTAAATCTCTTTAAAAATTATCTAAGAATATGTCCCCAAAGTAATAGAAGGGAATTCGAAATATTATCGAAGCTAGAAGGGAAATAGTGACCGAGCGTCTAAAAGATATGTATATGAGCGCTATGAGCGCTTGGGCAAAAAGCCCATAAAATAAAATTTTTTTCGTCAAAAATCACTTTTTTCAACTTTTAAAATTTTTTTTAAATTTTACACTTTCTTTAATTAAAAAATATGAATATCTTTGAATTTTTTGTTTCCGATAGAAATAGCGACCTGCAGCCTGCCGTATTTCCGTGAAAGATGTTCAAATATGTAACTATAAAGCCTTGGAATTTTGCTTGAATACCTTAATTTTTACCCTCCCAAAAAAATCAATTTTTTGAAGTCTCCAAAGCATTCTCATTAACACTTGCCATTGTTTGTTCGAGATCTTCACTGTTCGGCGACACGAGAGAAATGAGATTTTGTGTGCACACAGCGCCATTCACCACACACATGTGTGCACACCGATCGTAAAAAATCAAATATTTTCGCCAACATGGATCGGTATGCGCACAAGACCATACACGAGTAAAACGCAATCGCACACATGGCGATCGAACGCACATGTGTGTCGTGTATGGCACTTTTAGTTAGCAGCTTCATGAAACTGGCTACCTACATATATAAGCTTTAAATATTTGTAAAACGTAATGATATAATAAAAGCAATAAATCACCTGTGTCACCCTGTACGGTGTGACATACAAAAGAAATTGATAAAAAAAATTACTGTCAACATCTATTGCCAAACAATCTGAAAAGTTAGTTTTATATACGGTTGCTTTTCTCACGTTCATCAATTTATTTTTTTTTTTTACTAAACGATTGGAATTACTAACTAATTATAGTGAATATAAAATGATCGTACAAAAGTCTAAACCAATTGTAGTTTGCAAAAGTTATGTACCATAAGTGTTTAACAATTTTTAGACAGTCAATTATGTTGCATTGCTACTAGTGGACGGTTTAATTAACAAATTTAATAAGCGATAATTAAAGTACATGTATTATATATCCAAGTGAACAAGGCCTAAACTTATTTATTGAGTCAACTTATCATTAACAAAAATAAGCTTTGAATTGTGGAAAATGATGGATGAACAGTTAATTGATGAAGTCGCTCAACATGGTGTTATTTTCAATCGTCAAAAATATTACCTTAATGGTAGTAATGGCCCAAGCGGTGCGGGGGGGAAGTATGAAACTAAAGACGAAGCTTGGCAAACAATTGCAATAAAGTTGAGGACAGATGGTAAGAGTATTGCCGTTTTAAAAATTTCATTTAAAATACTAATTTTGTTAATATTCAGTTGAAACATGTAAGAAACGATGGAAGTATTTACGGGAGCGGTATGTTTCACAACGAAAACAGGGGGATCCTCCGGTATATGAGCACCTCTCTAGGCCATATCTCGAAAAAATGAAATTTCTCGATCAGCACATACAGCCTCGAAAATCCTACAGAAATGTGCCAAATTTTCTTACATCACCGCACTCGGTAAACAGTTCCAATTATAGTGAGTTCAACATGGATTCTAAATCAAATGGATCTATGAAAAATATAGGTCACTTCGGAAACCCTGCAGCCTCTCAACATCATTACCACCAATCAGATCCGCAACATACTATGAATGTACTGAATTCGTCAACGGTAGCTTCTTCAGCATCAGAAAACGGAAATGGACATGTCAAAATAGAAGCTGATCAAATGTTTCGTGATTTTGCGGCAGCAGTAGCCTCACAACAGTTGCAACAAATTTCACAAACACAGCTGCATCATCATCAAGCAGCCGCTGTAGCTGCCGCTATGGCCGACTCCTCGCAAAATTATAACGAACATTTTCGTGAAGGAAATCATTTGAACGGAAATGGAGTAGCTCATAATGGTAATAGCAGCGGTATTGGTATTTCGTCATCATCCTCGTCAATGAAATCACCTTTATCCTCTCCATTAGACGGTGTAAACGGCAATCATAGTGGAGGGAGTAAGTAAAATTAAAATTGATTAATGTTTTAAATTAGTTTCACGTTTTGTGAGAGGTGTGTAATATGCGCTTGCATATGGCATGTATATGGCTTTAAACATTTATTCTTCCGGCTTTTACAATTAGTTTTGGTTAAATTTCTTATACTTTCTCTATTTTAAAGATCCCTCCACGAATGGCGCACAACAAGCAGCATCACAGCCTTCCTCCTCTAATCAAATATCGACACACGCTTATAATGATTCCAATAACGATGAGCTGGACTCATCAACAGGTAGCAGTTATCATACAAAAAAGCCGCGTGTACATCTAAATTCCAATGTTGCTGGTATGACTCATAACAACAACCTTTCACAACAACAACACCCCAGTTCACATGATACATCCAATTCGACAAACGCACAATATGTTGAAGATACGGAAGATGATTCAGATGACAATAGTAATAGTATGTTGCAACCACAGGCTATATTAAATGATAACCAGATTAATCACTATGATAGTTCAGCTTCAACTTCCTCTGCAGCGGCAATGCAACGTAATCCGAATTCTTCAAATAATAATCAGCAACAGGGAATGTTTCCGGCGAACGCTGACTTCCTTTTTCAGCTTTATCAGCAATTGCCTCATCAACAGCAAACAGTAACATCGGCTCAGCAGCAGCAGCACCAGCATATTAATAAGTTTCAAACACCACAAAATCCAGTTCCCGCGCGCAGTTCAGAGCACCTACTTGGTGAATTAGTGACAACAGAGCTATTAAAAATGACAAAAGAACGACGTAAACATGTTCAGAAGCGTATACTTGAGATCCTATTTTTTGATGATTGAAATATAATGTACATAATTGTACAACAGTTGTTTGTGCTCATTAGCATCACACTACATTCTGGCAACTCGAAACTGGACTAGCAGAAAGCGTATTCATTCCATATTCCAAATTTAAAATTAGTGATTATTCCAATATATATATATATATATAATATATATTTGCTAGAAATGTGTAAAATTAAATTTTGTTTGTGTACGGAGAGCCCACCTTAAATATCTGTCAGCGTTATTGTTTTAAATTTTATAAAATCTATTTTCTTATTCTAGTCAGTTTGCAAAATTTGATTTAGAATAGTTACCTCTTACCTGCTCGTACCTTTAAACAATTCATTATTTTGTGCAAACACCCTGAAGAAATATTTAACTTGAGATTTAATTACTTAAAATTATGTACATATTTTTATATAACTGGTATATAAACCTTTTACATTCTACTACTGAAAGTAAGTTATAAAATTCATCAATATGTAATAAGACTATCGATCTATTGGTACCGCTTCAAAATATTACAAAAAAATAAAGTAATAAAGGTATATTCCTAAACCGTAAATATTACAGAGAATAAAATTAATTGCCATTATATGTATGTATTATACATTCAAACCTTGCCAAATAACCGTGCAAGCCATCTATCGGTTATATTAGTGGTTAATTGCACTACACCAGCAAAATTATTGTCAGTTTCTTAAGGCCTAATTGCCAATCTGAACGGAACTCTACGTGTGAGCGTTCAACCCTTTCTTACTTGAAGGCCTTATGATTTGCGCGGTGTGTATATGTTGGTTTCTTCGCTAACTCTTCTTGTATTGGTGGAAAGTTTTATGAAAACAATTGCGTATGTTGGCACCATAAATTATAAACAACTTTCAACGGCGGTGCTTTGAATTCGAACGGCGCTGCCAGGTTAGTCAGATCAGATGATTGCGTGTAATATGTTTACTTTGGCGAAAGTCTTAAGTTGTGTTTTGAAAGTGATAACTAGATAAGAAAAGTGGTGTTCAGGATTTGTTCCTCATATGTATTTCTAATTTGGTTGGATATCCCTATTAAACTTGAATAAAAATGTTGTCACGTACACTTAAATGCCTACAACTACAATTCAATGTTAGTACAATTTTAGGATCTAGTGCAAACAAAATTACAAGCAGTGCGAGAAAGATATCCAATCTTCATCGGTGGCAGAAGCCACATCAACAATTGTTGGTAAAATTCCAACGGTATGTAAATTTTACGTAAGCCAATAATTTTCTTACTATTTGACAACGAACTAATTATTTTATATACTAATGTCTCGCATCATTTTCTTGGTTAAAAAGTATGTTTCTTCTAAATGGATAGTGTCATTTGCCACAAAGTTTATAATGCAATTTACCATTTTCCAACAACTGTTTTGCCCTAATATTACTCCACACGAAAGAACTATGAATAGTCTATCAAGACTATGTTACTAATGGGAGCTACTTCTCATTGACCTGTTGGCAGCATGAGGATATGTTGTTTGTGTAAACGAAATCTTAAAAACCTGCTGAAGTTTATGAGTTTATAATATTCCGAGTTATTTCTTCAAGTAGAACTTGGAATAAAATGAACCCATAACACAAATCTCAGATATCACCGGAGAAATTAACTCTCAAAACAGCAAAATAAAAAATGTAAATAAATATTACCAAAAGCGAGCGCAATTGTTTTCAATTTCCTACGATATTCATTGATCAAATACTTACGTGATAAATTTCGTTATAACTACCATACTAGCACAAATGATGCCTCCGTTAAAGAGATAATAACACCAAAAAACATCGCGAATTGTGTGAAGTTGTATAGAGGAACAAATGAAAATAATTAACATAATGGGCTTTTCAGTGGAACGCTTCGGTCATATCACCATTATCAGGAGTGAAATGTGCCGTGAGTGCTACTCTAACAAGCAAAGATTTTTGCCATAAACTACTATGTATATACCTTTCCGAACCGCATTTGCTAGATTGCATATCAAGCAACTATTTCTTATTTAATTTTTTTTTTATTATTTGGTAACAGTATTCATGGTCGGATTTTTAAGTATCATGATTCACCCACACATACGTATATAAGAGCAAAACTAATCACTTGCATGCATATATATTTCTTCGTTTTAAAATGTTTACTTTGTTTCTTTGAGCTAGAAATTAATTCATATGCAAATTTTTACTTACAGCCCGCTTTCAATTCAAACGCATGCGCCTGATACGAAATATGTAAGTGAGTCAGGCGATGGGACTCCTGACTTCATGGCATTATTTCCAGGTAGGAACAAAGAAATTTTTTTTTTCAAATTTCCATATGTACATTGAAGCCTATAGGCACATTTAACATCATCAGTGAAAAGGACCGGAACAGAGGTCACTTATTATTATACATTTTATATTGTAATGCAAACGTTTAGTTTTATATACATGTGTTGCATACAATTTGCATGATAAAACTTATTAAACCCCAGTTCATAAATATAGGAGTCATACATATTCACATCACATTTTGTGTACGTTCAACTGAAATCAAACCGCATGCGAAGCCAGTTAAAAGTGAAAATAGAAGGCTGGGTTGATATTGTTCTCGTAGTTAATGATTGTAAATAAGGGCAGGTTGAGCAGCTTTGTGTTATAGTTGATTGTCTTCGAAATCATTTAACTATAAGAAACTGTTTTGCGAGTCGCTCAGGTATTTTATTCTCCAAATGTTTCCCTTTAAACGTACTTTTTAAATATTGTTCAATATGAAAATATAAATAATAATAATAAGTGAACGATGAAAACGATATCCCTTGATATTTTATTAAAAACAACATTGTAAATATTTTTTTGCAGATATTGTACGTGAACTCACCGAGGAAATAAGGAGCTTAAAAGCAGATGAGGCTGCAAGCTGGAACGAAAAGGTAAAAGTTCTGGAGTTTCATAAACAATTGCTGTATAAACAAATTGTTTAAATTTATTGCAGGCCTTGAAGTACAATGCAATAGGCGGGAAAAAGAGTCGTGCTTTTCTTGCTATTTCAACCTACAAAAATCTAGTCAAACCCGAAGAGATCACGCCAGAAAATCTTCAATTATTACACTATCTGGCATGGTGCATTGAAATGGTTTGTTTTTGTTTTAGAAATTAAAAAAATGCAATTTATATTAAGTAAATTAAATTCAAAAATTTTTTTGGTCATAGTTACAATGTTTCTTTCTCATACTTGATGACATTGTGGACGACAGCATTACACGTCGTAGTCAATTGTGCTGGCACAAAAAGAATGATGTTGGCATTATAGCTGTCAACGATGCTATGATGATTGAAAATGGAATATACGCACTGTTGCGTAAACATTTTCGCCATTTGGATTGTTACGTTGATTTACTAGAACTATTTCATAAAATAACATTTATTACAACCTCGGGACAATCAATGGATAATATTTATGCAAATAAAAAAGTAACCGATTTTAATATAGACAAATACAATGTAATTAGTGATACAAAAACTGGCTACTATTCTTTCTATTTTCCGGTAGCAGTGGCTTTCCATTTGGCAGGGTATGTATGAAGCTTTAATTTTAAATTCAATTCAATATAATTAATTTAAATAATTAAATTTAGTGTAAAGAACAAAGCAGTATTTGAGGAATCAAAAACTATTCTCTTAGAAATGAGTCATTTATTTCAAGTACAAGACGATTTCATCGATTGTTTTGGTGATTCTGATATAAGCGGAAAAGTCGGCACAGATATACAGGACAACAAAGCTTCTTGGTTGGCTGTAATATGTATGCAGAAAGCTAGTCCCGCACAAAGAGAGATAATGGAGGAATGCTATGGACAAAAAAGTGAGTAATCAAGGAGAAAATATGTTAATATTGCTATATATAAAATATAAAATATGTAACACTTTTCTTTACAGATGCTGAAAAAGTCGCGCGTGTTAAAAAACTTTACAAAGAATTGGATCTTATCAACCACTACCATGTGTATGAAGAGAGAAAATACAACGATATTAAAATTAAAATTCAGGAATCGTCCAATGATGTGCCGAAAGATGCATTTTTATCTTTACTAAACAAATTCTATAAACGACAAGTCTAATTGGAGTAATGAAGAAATAAAAGTACCTACAGAAAAACTGAACTTATATAGCTGAGTTATTTACAGAAGTCATGGACGTTATTTTCATCAACTTTTTTATTGTTATATTTTACATTTTAAGTATCTGAAAATAAATTTCTTAAATGCACTTGTTAATAACTAAACCGAAATTCCCTTAAAAGCAAAGAAAGGGGGAGTTGAGGACGCAGTGGTGTTGTTGTAACTTTATCTAATCTCCGTTAGGGTGGTAAATTGTATTCGAGATCTCCCAACAGTAGTCCCAGGAAACGTGCTGTTTCGACGTGGTATCAGATGTGCAGACTCGTTACATGCTGGACATGTATTTGGTATGCCGGGGTCAATAATTCTGGTGGGAACTTCCTCATTCATTGTGCAGAACATCGAGTCCTCTATCTGCTCTGCTAGCTCCATCCCCTTATGATCATTTGAAAGGCAGGATTGCCAAAGATCGTGATACGCGAAGCACACCTATATTCGGTTGTATATGTTGTACAGTATGAAGGCTGGCCTCCACTATTATCTCGCCAGGGCCTGCTCTCTGCTGCAAGGAGTTGCTCTAGTGATGACAAACTTATTCTAAAACTCACCGGTCCAAACGAAATTAGAACACCAAAAAAAAAAAAAAACCTTGGAGGGATAAAATCTGGGTCAATTTCGGTAACGTAAAAGCGTCTGTCGAGAAAATGTTCCTTGTTTCCCCCCGCGCATTGCTCATAATACTGCATATAGCTACTAACTCCACCACATAAGTAGTTCACCGGATGTATTCTTTTTACAATTAATCACCACAATCAAAACAACAATGTTTAGGTTTAAAAAACCTTGCTATTAGGAATGATTGGAATTTAATTCCATATAATTTGATACTGCAAGTGTTTGTGAGTGAATACAATATGTTTAGAAAGATAATTTGAACTAAATGATTTTATTAAAGGTCATCGTGTACTTAGAAGTAAATACTACTATAAATACGAGAAGCATTGATACTTCACGTTTATATTTAATACTTTTGTAATCTGTAGTATTTACTTTGTCAGTAGCGCTAGGCACATGTTTTGAATTCAATATACAAGTTTTTGAAATATCAAATCTAAAATTATTAACTGAAAATTATATAAGTGGCAGTGAAGGTGAATAATAGTAATAATAATAAGAAGAAAAGTTTAAATAATTTTCTCTTTTCTCTGTTTTAAAATCCAAAAAATTCAGTGATTTATTTGCATTTTCGGAAGAAGTGCCTCCATTAAATGTATGTCTACATACCAAGACAATTACATAATTAGAAAATTAGGTGTATGAGGAAGTATTGACCCGATGATCGCATTTTGAGTCTCTGAATTTCAGTTTGATGTGTCACACATTGACCGATATTTTCGGAAGAAGGTCAACTAGAGGTCCACATATTCGATATGTCGGTCGGTAACATTGCCATGGCATGTAGACCGATTTCGCCCATTTTCATACTGTGACATAAAAATGTTATGTACCGACTTTGATTGAAATCAGTCCAGCAATTTTCACCACGGCTCCTTTATATCCCTCTCTTACCATTTCGGAGGAAAATTTTAATGTCTCTGACGTATTTTGCTACTGATTTATTGCACTTTTAGTATATTTAATACCGTCATATGAATAGATCCACTCCGCCCGTCATTAATTTTTACAGAGTAGATAGGGGTTTTAGCACGAATCCTTTAGGAGATAGATACATTAAATCTCTTAGAGGGCGAGAGCACGCGCAGAATTATTTTTAAACAAAACTTTAAAAATTTAGAAAAATGTATTGTCTTCTTCGAAAATGGCGGCAAATACAACCAGCTTTTGTAAACGCAGTTACTGTGGAGAGTGATATTAGCAACAATTACAGCAAAGCGTACTGTTTTCCATTCACCTCACATCGCTATACATCAAATCACTACGGAACTAAAGTTAGTAAACCATCATCTACTCGGGAGGCGCCGCTAAACTACATCGGAAATAAAATAAGGTGAGTGAAAAAGGTCAGTACCTTCAACGCATGGAACATCTCTGTGTACAATTTTCAATATGAAATAATTGCATATTATAATCGAAATCCATATATACTATACATATAATATTATACTCTCACAACATGTTGCGGCAGCAAATGGTCACCTAACTGTTGTTTGTAACACTTAAAACTCATCGAGATAGATATATAGGTAATTGTATATACATACATATATGTATAATCAGGATGACGAGACAAGGGGAAATCCAGGTGACGTGCTGTACGTCCGTCTGGCCAAAATGTTAAAATTGAGCAACAGTATCCCCTGGATAATTGGACTTCAAAAATTGTACAATATTTGGTTCAATTACCTTTAATTAGACCACCTAATCAATTAAACGGATAAATTTACACGTATTTCGTCTGCATATTTTTCACCGATGAGGTGATTTAAATAAGAATACTATATATGGATGAAACTTTCTTACTTATACATTGTATTGTATTATATTTCTCAGCCGTTCACCAGCATTGGAACAAAATTTTAGGTTAATTTCTAGACGTTTGATGTCAAAAGATGAAATACGAGATTTCGGTGCCGTATTGCCAGGTAAAACTAAAGTTACGATTTCCAAATTGCTCGTACTAAACCGAGTCTGATTGGGACTTTCAATATGTGGTCGCTAATATCTTCGGTGCTTTTCAATTCAAAGCTTTGAGAAAGCGATGCCCTTACAAAACAAAGTTTTAAGAATTTTCTACTGCTATTCAGTGGCACAGACTATTAACACATAGTTTTTTTTTTAAGATGTTGTGCGTGATCTTGGCTCTATAGCTGAACAATACAACAGCAAAGAAGCGGGGCAATGGTTCAAGAAGGTATGTGCTTTTGTTTAATCAATCATGATTTCAAATACATATTTTTCATTTTACAGTGTCTTGAGTATAATTTACCACTTACAAATTACAAAAATGGCCTAATCCCCGTTTTGACATACAAAACTGTAGATAAAGGCGAGCAAATAAATGCGGAACATTTAAGACTGGCACATATGCTTGGCTGGTGTTTTGAAATGGTAATGTGTAAAAATATGATAATATAGCGATGCGTTGTATTTCTATGTCCAATAGATGCTGTGGTGCATACTCATGACCGATGATATGATGGACAAAAGCACAATACGTCGTGGTCAGTTGTGTTGGTATAAGTTTAAGGAGGTCGGTCTCTCTGCCATAAATGATGTAATCCTGATAGAGAATGGACTTTATGAGCTTCTCAACAAACATTTCCGCCACTTAGATTGCTATGTTGATCTTCTCGAATTGTTTCATCAAAACACTTTTAAATGTTTATGTGGGCAATCATTAGATTTGCTTCTCACTAAAAGGAATGTGACTACCTTCAATATGGAGACGTATGATTCGCTAGTGTTGAATAAGACTTCCTGTCATTTTTTTTATTTGCCCGTTTTTGCAGGGCTTCATTTGGCAGGGTAAGTATCATGTCTATGTTACCATAGGTGTGTTCACCTAACAGTTATTTCTAACATCTAAAACTATAAGTATACATACATACATATATTATGTATATTCGTATGTATACATTTTTATATATTCATAAAAAGATTTTAGTGACGAAAAGGTCAGAATATTAGAATCGTTAAATTATCATGAAATAGAATTTTATATATCAAAATGTTCAGAATGATGTTTTGAAACACAAGTCAACGTACCTTTTACTTCATACCATATACTACATATCGATCAATATGTAAGATAAGTTAGCAAAATTAAGTGAACTTAGTACATTTAAAGTTGATTTTGGCAATTTTCCAAAGTATAAAATGATAAGTTGAGCCCTTCTTTCTGGCAATTGTGAGAGTGTTTGTATTTGGCTACGACCGATCTTAATTTTTTGTTTAAAATGTAATTTTCTGTATTATTTGCAGAGTTAAAGATAAGCACGTTTTCGATGAATCCCTGAGCATTTTATTTGACTTAGGCCATTATTCGCAAGTTCAGAATGATTTTCATGACTGTTTCGGTGAATATGAATTCACTGGCAAAATCGGCACAGATATTGAAACTAACAAATGCTCCTGGTTGGCGGTGAAATGTATGGAACTGGCAAACCCACAACAAAAGTCTATTATGGCAGACTGTTATGGACACAATGGTTAATTGGTGGTATCACTATATATGGATAAGAAAATTTTCAAATTTTTGGTATTTTTAGATCCTCAGAAGATAGCGCGCGTCAAGCAAGTTTACGAAGAATTGGATATGCTCAATATTTACGCCAAATATGAGGAAGAGACATGCAATCGTATTCTTATGAATATCCAAAAAACATCAGATGCAGGGCCGCGAGAGATTTTGATAGAAATTCTTTGTCAAATTTATGACAAAGAAATTAAGTAAAGGCGGGAACCACAAAAGAACAAATAAGCAAAGATATTAGCAACTTGGGAATTAATTTACGGTTTTTTGATATGAATAGCTTAAAATTAAGTTTGACCATTTTGAGCGAGCTAAACAAATCCTAGGTTTCAATTTCAATTATTTTTCGGAAACCAGGTGAACTCTCTCAAAACTTTGTCCTGTTTCCTAATATTTATTTAAAGCGCTTCTAGATAATGATCGATGAAGTCAAAAAGGTATGGAAACCAAAAAATTTCCGATTACGACCCTCTGATAATATAATTTTATTTAATTTTTATATATATTTTGAAGGACTAAATCATCTGCTGTTGCCTTCAATCCGAACTTTATACTAAAGATATGTATGAGTATGTATGTGTTCATGAATGTAATTCTGAATTAGATCGTTACTATCCTCTAAATGAGTAGAAACTGAAAAGGCTTAGCGCTAATGTTATCAGAGGTTCATGTAATTATAAGTAAAGTTCAATTTGAAAGTACTTGAAAGTTTCTACTAAATGTATGTCAATGCAATCCGAATGCAAGAGTCGGTTAAGCTAGATCGTTTTTGCTTTAAAATAAGTAAACAGATGCATTCCGTTTTAGGTGGGCTTTACACGCTCATCGCATCAGCATCTGATTCCGGTCGAAATATAAAATTACTTTGCACAAAGCCGTTTAAGAAACCGCATCAAATCATCTCATAAAAGTAATTTATTTTATTTGATGTGGCTAACATTTTAAATTTTTAATTTACAAAAATTTTATTTGATAAAAAGATGCATACAAAACATTAAGTGGTTTTTACTATTTATTAAACTTATGCTTTAAGAATATAAAAAGGGAAAATTATTCAAGATAATTTCAATAATTCTAAAATATAAATATAAATAAAGCTTGAAGTATTACATTAATTAATTGCATGGTTGAGGTTACATTAGTTATATTTTTGTGTAATCCTCTACTATTCTGAATTGTGTCAAATTTAATTAAACTCTCAGAAATGTTTTCTATAATGCGTAAATTTTTGCCGATACGTACGAGTACAACTGCTGGCATAGTTGGAAAATGCCGTAATAATATCGAAAAAAACGAAATCCGATTTCCGTTTCGTCTATTCTCACAATACCGTTGCATGTTCGCAGTTGGTGCTGGTAGTACTCCTATTCAGCCCTTAGGATTTAATTTAGAGGAATCCCAGCAATTCGTGATCTTAAAACGGTAAGTGAAAATACCAATAAAAACAAAACCTTGACTTTAGCTCACAAGCAAGTAGGTCTATGACTTGATTTTGATCGGTTTGTTGCTTTAGTAGTTCGATATTATGACTTTGTGAAGATACTTTGTCAAATAAAAAAGAACTTGAGTTTAATCGGTCAGTTGGTATGACAGTTCGATATCAGCGCTTCCCACATGAGAAGCTTCATGGTTAGTATAGGACGGGTGCAACTCAGGTTTTTGCTAGTTTGCGTGTATTCAGACAGATAGACGGACAATGTTAAATCGGTTCAGCTTCAAAAGTTGGTCATTTATAAATATACCTATTGGGTCTCCGACGTTTCCTATTGGGTGTTACAAACTTAATACACCCTATTCAGGGCATAAAATATATGGCGACCCTTATCTAACTAGTACATTACATATTAAATAAAAATTGAAATAATTCAAATTAGAATTATCGACTAATTATAAGAACTTCCTTCAAATTATGTATCATAGATATGGATCATGGAAATCATCAATTCTCTTGAATCAAAAATTATTTGATACCGACCATGAAGATGCATTTCTGATCTCTACGCCACTGGCCATACAAGGAAGATATAATTTGGTAACGAATTTGTTGTCCAGAAGACTCCCGAATATAGCACATTTGTTTATATTATTGATATTCATTTGTATTTATATTCAGTGAAGCGTCATATTCGCGCCCAGCTATAAAAAGGTTCAGCAGGAAGCAAAGCGTGTACATATATATTTAAAACAAGAAAAAACGTTAACTTCCGTTGCCCTTCAAAGGTGCATTTCTGTTAGTAACTATGTGTACAGTTTGTATGTCAAAAAGTCTTGTGGTATTTTTGCGCTATTTTTATTGAATTTTGAATTGTCCATAAAATTTTTTTTGATGACTCATGCCCAGCTCTTGGCCGATGCTACGGCTGCTACTATGCCGATCTCTTTCGACCAATTCAGCGATTTTATCGTAATTTTCGGCGACAGGCCTTCCGGAGCGTGGCGGATCTTCGACCACCTCTACACTAGAACGAAAACGTTGAAACCATCATTGTGCGGTGGAAATGGAAACTGTATCGGGTCCATAAACTGCACAAATTTTATTGGCGGCTTGAGATGCATTTTTGCCTTTATGGTAGAAGTACTGTAAAATATGCCGTATTTTCTCTTTATTTTGCGCGTTATATGAGCTTTCCAAAAAGGTATAGCATGACCCGATGCGACGAATAAAACTAGAACTATGCGCTCTCAGCGCCAACTAGCGAAAATACCGCCAGACTTTTTTGACAACCTAATATACCAAATTTTGTGAATATATCTTGTCAAATGTGAAATGTGAAATATCCATACCAGCATTTGATTCCGATCGTTCATTTTGTATGGCAGCTATATTTTATAGTGGTTCGATATCGACCATTCCGACAAATGAGCAGCTTCTTGAAGAGAAAATGATGTTTGCAAAACTTCAAAACGATATCTTGAAAACTGAGGGACTAGTTCGTATATATACAGACAGACAGACGGACATGGCTAAATCGACTCAGCTCGACATACTGATCATTTATATATATACTTTATAGGGTATCCGACGCTTCTTTCTGGGTGTTACAAACTTTGTCACAAACTTAATATGCCCTGTTCATTGTATAAATATTTAGTTGATTGATTTTTGAGCGGCTTTGGCGTGGTTTCGAGCAAGAACACGTTTCGTTCCCTAAATATCCACCAAAATCATTCGATCGGGATTTAACTGACGATTTTCAAGCACCATATCCTTCACTTTTTTTAATATTTTCACCAGTTTAAGAGACAGGCCGCCAGAATGAATGGAAGAAGTAGAGGACTATTTTAATTTATTAAGAATTTTTGCCAACTTCTAAATGCCAATAATTAAATCCAACTCGACCAAATTGGTTAGAAATTAAAAGGACCAATCAAAAGGACAATACTTGCCCCGCTGTTATTATAATACTATATACATATTTCTGTATATATACACAATACATATTTTTAATTCATTTATAATAATTCTTCCCTTCAGGGCATCATCATCATTGGAGAATCACATTGTAGCAAAGTCAAATCATTGTTCAACACAACATGAGATCCGTGAATTTATGACAGTTTATCCAGGTATATCCATAATTGAAATATTTGTAATTAAAATATTATAGGATTGGTTAAGTGAAAATTTATTGAAAATAAATCATAAGAAACTAAAAGTCAACCAGAAGGGCGTAAAACTACTATATTAAGGAATCGAGGATTAGACAGGGTCTACATATACTTATTGCTTTTCAAATTAAAATTAAGATTTTATCTATTTAAACAGTTATATTGGGACTAGAGGAAAGTCTAAACAAACGGCATTAAACTAAATTAAACTCTAGAGCAAACATGATGCACCACATTTTTTTAAATAAAACAAAAGGAGAATATGACCTATATGAGGGCCGGGATATTTCGTGCACAGTTTTTACCCGTTTCTACTTAATTTACCTAAGATATACTTTTGACCAATATATGTATCTGGAATAAAGACAACCGAAAATTTGAAAATCCTTATATGAAATATAAAAGAATATTTAACCGATTTTATTCATTTGCAGCATGCAGAAAAATTATTGAGAAAGGAAAAGGGGATGCCAGAATTTCAATAAGATATCTCGCAGATTGTATATATGCGATACAGTCAGCCGGAAGATCGAAAATCTTTATGTTATATTAGGTGTATGGGCCTAGTAGAAGCACCTACATTTACACAAGGGAATACTGTTATCAGAAAAAGATGCTCTCTGAATTTAAATAATTTATCTCATGCATTGACTGATATTTCCGAGCTGAGTGCTTAGAAAGTTATGGTCTGATTTCGATCTTTTCAGATACTATTATTTTAAAGTTTTATTTCTCAATTTTTTTGCCGATTTCACCTATCCCCAATACTAACCTCCACAGATTGGTTAGGAATATATGTATAACCCTATATCTAAGTTGTTTAGTTTTAGATATTACAAACAAATCTTATACAAACTAATCAATTACCAAACCAGTATTTCCTTTTTTTTTTAGACATTGTTAATGACCTTATTGACACATTGGAAAGATACCAATGCAACGATTTGGCGGAAAGCTTCAGAAAGGCAAGGGAAATAAAAAAATCAAGCAATGAATGAATCAACTCAGTTAATGACAGTTATAATTTACTTTATTTTTCATAGACTCTGGAGTACAATTTACGACTTTCAAACGGGAAGCATGGTATAATCCCCGTATTGACATATAGGAGTATAGTACAAGAACCGGACCTCACATCAGAAAAAATTAAATTAGCACAAATACTTGGCTGGTGTATTGAAATAGTATGTATACTGCAAGATCCAATCGAAAACTCCTTTTTCAAACTAAATATTCACGAAAGATACATTTTATTTCATTTTGATAATTCCCGGTTTTGGTCAGTACATATCATGGTTGTATGTGCTATAAAAATCCGATCGGTATCTAGTTTGGTCTTCTCCGATCCTTTTTAAAAATTTTCAAAGTTCTGTCTTCAATCAAAGGAAAAACACAAATTTTTAATTACTTTAAAAGACTGTAATTCTAAGGAAAGAATTTCTGGGCGTTCATCCCTCTGCCCTAGCAAACTATAACTCGAATAAGCATTATATATAGATATATCGATAAAACTTAGTGGGTGAAAACGGACGAAATCGAATAATAACCAAATTAACAGTTATGTTCGAGACTGGTGAAAGTGCGCCACGCCATGTAAATGACAGTAATATTAGGTTGTCAAATATTTCCCTTCCGCCATTTTGTCTTTTGAATTTCGCTGCTATGTACAAAGCGCTACAGAGCTCGTATCTGACAATACTATACATCGTTGAATGGTCTTGACATAACCTACAAAACGAAACCTACAAAACGACGCATGATTAGTTTGGATATTGCGTTCAATATTTATAGACGTGTAAACATGGAGTTCGCTAACGCTGAAATTCGCGCTATTTTAAGGTTTTCCTTCGCTAAAGGCAAATCCGCTAGAGAAGCGTTTCGTGGAATTAATGGTGTGTTATGGGATGGCACTCTATCACTTCGCACTGCGGAGGAATGGTATCGACGATTTAGAGAGGGTGAAAACGACACAATGGATAAGCTGGCCGACGGAAGACTTGTGACGACCAATACCGATTAAATCATAGAAAGCATCGAGTTAGACCGGCATGTGGCACCTCGTGACATCGCCCAAAAGATGGGAGTTAGCCACCAAACCATTTTAAATCATCTACAGAATGCTGAATACAAACAAAAGTTTGATGTTTGGGTGCCGCATGATTTGACGCAGAAAACCCTTCTGGACCGAATCAACGCCTGCGATATGCTGCTGAAACGGAACGAACTCGACCCATTTTTGAAGCGGATGGTGACTGGCGACCAAAAATGGATCACATACGACAATATCAAGCTAAAACGGTCGTGGTCGAAGGTCGGTGAATCGTCTCAAACAATGGCCAAGCCGTGATTGACGGCCAGGAAGGTTTTGCTGTGTGTTTGGTGGGATTGGAAGGAATCATCTCCCATATGGCCATTTCTTGAGCATGTTTTATCTTAATGCCTAAAAAGATGAAATCGCTCCAGACCTAACTCTCACTCCTAACCTCAAAAATTATCAATTTACTTTCTTACTTATGAGGCACGAGTAATACCATTACTTTTATAATCGTTCTTTTTTAACTTTATTTATTTCATGGATACAAGTCAATCCGGCCGATATTAAGTATTTGCCAACAACATTAAACCTACTCCATTACTTATCAGTCAAAATGTTTTGTTTATTTTAAAGAGAATCACTGGCAATTTAACTGTAAATACAGGGGGAGCATTATTATGCCATATAGCCACATTTAATACAATCGTAAAAATTTCACTCGTATGTTTTTATGTGTTCTGCAGTCCCATGTTTTAGCCTTCATTACCGATGATGTAGTGGACAACAGCACCACGCGTCGTGGGAAAGTGTGTTGGTACAAATTGGATGGAGTGGGTTTGAATGTCATACACGATTCTATATTGCTTGAGAATGCCATCTTCGTACTTCTCAGAAAACATTTCAGTCATCTAGATTGTTATGTTGATTTGTTCGAGCTATTTTATGAATGCATTTTCAAATGTATTTGCGGCCAATCAACGGATGTGATTGTTAGTACAAGGCATGTGAACTCGTTCGATATGGACACGTTGAATTCGATTGTGAGGAATAAAGCTGCCAGTAACTTTTTTTATTTACCAGTAGCGGCTGGTTTGTTTTTGGCGGGGTGAGCAGAGAGCCGACAAAATAAATAATTTTATATCACCGTATTATGTATTTCCAGCGTCAAGGACCAAAAGATATTTGAAGAATGTCAAAAAATTACATTTGAGTTAGGATATTACGCTCAAGTTCAAAATGATTTTCTTGATTCATTTGGAAATCCGGATTTCACTGGTAAAATCGGCACAGATATAGAATGTAACAAGTGTTCTTGGCTGGCGGTAAAGTGCATGGAATTAGTCGATTCAGAACAAAGGGCTATTATGGAGGAGTGCTACGGCCAAAAAGGTAAGTTTTGGTAAGATTAGTAAGAACATGCTACATTTTTCACCACTTTTTTCATAATGTAGTTCATGTTTTAATTAATATTATATTTTAAACATTTCAGATCCGGAAAAAATTAATAGTGTTCGAAAGCTCTACGAGGAGGTTGGACTGCCCACCTTATGTGCCCAGTTCGAAGTAAAAATATGCAATAGAATCAAAATGCAAATTGATCAAACACCGGTTCAGATGTTACGTGAAGTGTTTTTAGAATGTCTTAATTATGTCTCCAATAGAGGAATTAAGTGATTTAAATCAAATTTAACACTCCAAAACTATTCAATTACCAAAAAATGGATATATTCGTAAAAAATGCATCAATTTATTAAAAATTGTCAATTATATTTTGCTTAAAAACACTGTATTAAACTTAAAGGGTAAAATCGTACTTTTGAAATTTTTTACGGAAATTTTTTACCATTTCAATTTCTTCATCTTTGTTTAATTTGCAATCTTTCCAATCTACTTYTTCCTCACAATTGAGTAAGTTTTCCGAGCAAAACACGTCACTGAAATTAGTAAAGCCTAAATTCGTACATTAAGCGATAATAAACCTCAAAACAGGAAAATACCGTGCAAAATGAAGTGGAAAATGTTTCATTTGACGAGTAATCAACGTGCTTTTATCCGGCAATTCCGCTACAAAATAGGGTCCTTGTTGCGGAAGCATTTGCGATGATGTAAGGGCCGGTAGAGTTTCAAGTTGTAAATTGAATTCCTCAGCTTTGTCCTAAAACAAAAAAAAAAAAACAAAAAAATCTTTTAATATCTTTAATAGTTAATTTAAGTATATTTACTTCGAACGCATGTTTAATCTTCCACGCATAACCTTCATCAATACCTAACGCATTGACTTGTAAATGCGACGACTTGTAGTGACGTTCAGTAAAACAAACCACTTGTCCATACGATTGAAAGAAGTCACGTAGCGTATTTTTGAATTTTGACAATTCCTTCCAATCATCATCAGTTAGTAGCGATGCTGAAGAAATGTGAGTTATGGACATAATAAGAACATGGAATTCGTTGATTGGTCCTTTAGCTAAAGCTAAATAAAAATTATCCCCAATTGAAATAACTAAATGTTTTTCTACATCGGATGACGATAAACAGAACCAACATTTTTCTAAATAAAAATTATATTTTATATTAATTGCAACAGATGAAAGCGACTACAATTGGCTTAATTTACCTTGATCTATTTTCATAATTCGTGCGCGTTTCTCATGACGTTGGCCACTACCATCAGACCGCTTCCGATTATCATCTCCGCCCATATTCATGTCATAGAAATATTGTTTACATTCTGATTGCTGTAATATAAAATATATGTATTGCAACTAATTGAGTTCATTTTCCAATATGTTTATAGTTTACGTAGGTGTCATTACCCTGTCATCTCCTCTGAAAAGGGGGAAATTCATACCAACGAACGGACATTTAGTTTCATTTGTCGTTTTTTGTATCAACTCCAAAACACGCATTTTCTCCACTGGCGTTAAGCTTAGGGCATAAATATATTTTTCCTTAGCAACATTGGCCACCTCCGCCAAAGAGATAAAACGAGTGCAAAGTTCTAATTGAGTTAGCTGGTCGGATGGTATTCTAAAATAGAGAATATTTAAAATGTGTGCACTTACATCAAAGTTAGAATTATACCTAAAAGGTGATGGCTCGTAATACTTGCTGTTGAGTCCACAAAAATGGTAGCGAGGTTTGATTTCTTTACATAAAAATGAGATCATCTTCGAAGCATTTTTCTGGAAAGTTAATTGTCAAAAGAAGAGTAGCATGCTAACCAGTTAAACTCGTGGTAACATTATATTTGTCTGATTGCATTGATATAGTTTACAAAATTACAAACTATAATTAAATGTTTGTTTATATTTGTATGAACGTTTCAACTATACTTACATGATCTTCATGTATTCCATATGGCCATTGAGAGGTGAGCAAAATGTCGACACCTTTATAATCGCAGGCAGACGATTTACTTACAACACATGAATTACAAATAGATAATATGTCATCTTTATCAAAGAAAATATGTTTTTCATCTTCAATAGGATTGTGGCCATCAACCTTCTCCAGCCCACTTAAGTAAGCTACTTTAACACCCGAGGTAAGAGTATACAATCCTCGTTTACCTGCATAAGTACACAATTAAGCTTTTCCTTGCAATAACGTGCATTGATAAGATTTGGAAATATTCTATAATTTTACAACTAAATCAAGGATACTTACCCAAGTAAGTCAAATTAACACATATTTCACCATTTTCTATGTCATTGTAAAAATGTACTGTTTCTTTTGAGCAGGGCCCAAGAATATACATAGGTACGTGCACTGTAAATAAGCTATGTTGTAATTATAAATCTTATTGATTTATTAAATGTTACCCGATTTATTTCCATTTTTGTAAGCAATCAGTTCTTCATTTTGCTCTACTGTACCAAAAAACTCACCAACACAAAATATGATTTCGAAAGGACCGGCTTTTTTGTTTATATTTTCCACGCGTTGGAAAAGCTGCCGAAATCGGCCACGTACATCCCCAACTATAAGTCTATTAGAAAAGTTTTGAATTTACTCCTTGATAATTTAAAATTCACTTACATTTTAATTTTTGAATCCATTTTGTTACAAATATAAACATAAAAGCCTTTTGTTTTGTTTTGACAGCTAAACAGCTGATAATTCAATAGGGATGCCAACTCCAACACAAGACGAAAACTTGTATGATTCATACCACCATACAACCTAATGCATAAAATTACACACACAAAAATACAACATTAGGTGCCTAATACAAATCGCATATATATTTTTTCTACAATATTTCACAATAGTCAAAGTTAATATTCAATAAATTCAATAATTGTTTGCTGAATTTGGTGTTGAAATTATACTTTGCAAATCAACTATCGATTAAATCAACGAAATTTCAATGAGTTTTTAGGATCGAATTGACGAAACTAATCGAAACAATGCATTAGGTTTCATGCTAATTGTTTCAATGGATTGGAGTTTCTGTAGACGTAATTTATTGGGTTTTTGCCATTTAAAAACCTTTTGAGAAAAGGAAACTGTGATGTGCCGCATCACAAAAATATTAACGCACAATATCCCACGCAGTCATAGATATAACATTTTCTTAAATCTGTAAAAACATAAAATAATCTATATAGCAACTAAATAAAAATTAAAATATACAATGATCGCTTACACTTATAATCTGTACTAATATTCTGAAAAATTTAATTTTAGATCTTTTACACCAACATCAAGAATTCTTCTTTCAAAAAATTCGTATCAGATGCCAATGAGGTGGTTGCGCCAGGTATCGTAAACAGCAACACAATGTTTGGAATGAGTCTATACATGATAAAAGTCTATAAATTTTAAAAAGTTTAATATAAATATTTTTAATTACCGCAAGTCATATAAAGTCTTTTCCATATCTTCATCAGTGAATTTAACACCATTTGCTGTAACTAAATTAAAATCCAAATTTTCGTCGATAAGACACGATTGCACAAATTCATATATATCTCTAATTTTTTCGTAAACATTAAAGGTGCCCTACAAATATAAAGGATATTAGTACAATTGTTTATTTATATGCGCTGTCGCTCGGTCACCTGAATATAAATACCATTTGGGAATTTAACTCTTATCAATGCGAAACGATATAAACGCAAATTACGTTGTTCTTCCCGTTCTCGCATTGCCTTTGTTCGTAATACTTGCGAGTTTTCAATAGCTTCACTGCGTAACTGTTGTTCACGTTTGATTTCCGCTGGAGAGATTCGATAGAAATCATCAGGCAGCTCTGCACTTCGAGCCTGAGAAGGCATTAGAACTCTAATGTTTCTGTCTAAATCAAGTTGTATAGTTTCAGCATTCTTCAAAGCATCTAGCAAGATTGGCAAATCATAATCATTTTCAACGTTTTCTTTAGACCAAAGGAGAAATGGTTCACCATCGATATCAATCTCACGGAAACCAGCTGCAAGCAGAAAATCCAAAGCTCCCTCTACATAACGAACTTTCTCATTAAAAATTCTAAAAATTAATTTGGAAATGAAAATGTGGAATGAGTAGATTCATGACAATTAACAAGCAAAACATACTTATTGGACATTCTAATTTTATAGTATTTCTCTTCCTCGGGATGGTTATATATGTTCTCAAGATATTTTGAAAGTGTTTGTATGCAATCATCAGCCTAGATATAACGGGTTAGACAAATTCAAACCAAAAATTTGTATGTCCAAACCTTTTCACGTGTGTTACAGTTACATATTATCAAACACGCAGTCAATGCTCGTTCCGAATCCAATTGTTGATATAGAAACTCTTTTATTTTAATTTTCCAATCTTTCCTGGATAAAATTTCCTCACTTATTAACGGGCATCGAAAAAATACTCCCTCGCAGGCCATATTCCTTTTTGTCGTTGTGCTTGACGGCCCCGATGATACGCTCAGCTCTTCTGTCCGTAGTTTTTGTTCTGCTTCCAACTCCCGTTTCGCTTGAGCTTTGATAGCTGCCAGAGAGGTATTGAAATCTTTCGTCTCTCTCTTCTCTATACGAGCTAGTGCTGCTAATGCTGCTTGACGTGCCTCCGAACTCATTTCTTGTCGTTTGGGTGGCACATAGACATTTCCGGATTTAGAGTTTGAACTGTTCGGTGGCGATGGTGCAGCGTTTAAGGTTCGGCCTTGTCCCATTCCGCCACCTAGTTTTAACTGCAATAGAACAGAAATTAGGGGGCAGATTCCATAAGATTGATAAGATACAATTTATTTTTCAATTGTAAACTAAAAGCGATTAATATATTTATAAACCTTAAAAGCGGCTTCCTCCTTTTTCCTGGAGAAAAACTTTTTGATTTTCGACATTTTCGCTACTTTCAACCAAGTAGATCCTTTATATTCTAGGTGAATGCTCCTTAGGCAATTTTAATTTGGCGACGGATAACTTGAGCTCCTCAATTTCCTTGAGAGTGCCTGGGACAATTATAAATATGGGTTTTAACTATTCAATTATAAACAGTTATATATTTTTTTACTTACTGGGCCGAACAAATTTTTCAGTTATTACTTTTCCGTAAACACGCCACGAATACGCGATGAGTCCTGCAGTACCTAGTAACAAAACCAGCAGCACTTTTAGCAGAGTTAGCTGTAGCGCTGAGAACTCAATAGGACTACGCCAATCGCTAGTTGTTTCAGAGAATTCTTGCTGTATTGAAACTACTGTCTGCACCGCCACGCCCACAATTAGTTCTAACTTTAATGCGAAGGCTTGTAGCGATTGATTTAGCGACTGCTGGAAAGCATCGACATTCATTTGGTGTATCGCTTTCCAAATATTCTCTGTAAACTTTATAGATACGACAACCACACTACTAATAATGGATATGGAATTAATTGGAATTAACTTTTGAAATTCACAAGGAATTAACCTTAAAGCAATATTATCTTTGCTGAAAAATTGTGAAAAATACTAATTCAATGAATTGTCATAATTTTTTCGCAGCTGTTTTCTGATTTAGGACAGTGCTGCCGTAGTATAAATTTTTATCACACTTTTCAATAATTTACTTCGTCGTTCGAAATCTCAATATAACCGCTGTGAAAGGAAGCAAGAAAAAAATATTAAAAACAGAAAAATAATGTAAACAATCTTATCAAAATTCAAATGGTCGAACATACTGAAAACGAGGCATAAACCAAGAAATTTTCTTCTATTTTGGAATACATCACACCATGGCATCCCTTACGGGGCATCTCGACAGGATAACATCTATGCCTTACTAACTGTATTACCGTGCCTATTGCCTGTGGGAACTCCACGTTGCTTATTGCTTACAATATATAGAATACTAATCAGTTTGCCTTTTGCGATGCATCACACACTCATCATTGGGTTCGTTTGCAATTGTGTTATGATAACACTTTTCAAGAGATACATTTCAAGGGATTTGAACACTGTCTCCACAGGCAATAATTATTATCTTGACAATCTCTTCGAAGCAATATCTCAGTTGAAAACTGCATATTGTTCGTGGAAGGCAATAGATATTTACAGTGATTTTGTTTTTTCTTAATATTACGTTGTAGTATGCAAATGAATGAATGAAAACATAAAAATGTACACGGATTAGGATTGATTTCAATCTGCCTTTACAACAACAACAACAACAACAACAACATTGATTTCAATAGTTCGATTTAATTTAAGCAGTGACCTTATGATTCTCCTCGAACTAATTTCAATGGTAAACTCTTGAGTGTGCATTGGATTAAAGATTTAAGTAGAGCGATTATTTAACCAGCCATTCGCCCCTCATGCACATATTGAATGCGGAATTTTAGTGTTTCTTACAGAGAAAGATTGGTCAAAAACTGTCGTCGAATTAAGTTAAAATAATTTATCTCATCAGTTTACAAATATAGAACCGTGTGCAAATGAAAATATATTTGAGCTTCCCTAAGTCGGGCCATCATAATACACAAACAAACTTCGAATTAGGGAGACTTATAGACTCTATAGAGTTACAGAAATTAAAACAAATTTTTTTTTTATAATTCATACTTCATATTTTAGAATGCATCCATTAAATACGCTTATTATGTACATATAATTATTATGTATGCATGTTCATAAAAAGGCACTCACGAATTTATAGAACAGAGGCAACTAAATAGATAACTTTCCACTTTGCCTTAATACAATTAACGTTCCGCTGTAACCTGGCGCATCTGCCACACATTGGTATCTCCGTTGAAGGGGTGGCAGCAACCAGGAATAATGGCTCTGGCAGCAACACTCCAGTCAAAATACATACTCGTGCAAGACCTAGATTTTTGCAAAGCGCACCAGCCGCAATAACGCAACACCACGACTGGCGACTGTTAGGCAGCAACAGTTGGAGTTGTGTACACTGTAATTTACTGAACCTGAAAAACTTGTTAAGTATTATCGCTTCGTATTCATTATTCAGCTGAAGCTGTCTCTATTGGGTTTTTGCTCAGTCCAAGTCCAGCTTGTGAGATTTAGAAACGATATACTATAAATTGCAAAGCGTATAAAGTGGTATTTTCCTCTAATGATCGAAATACTATATCGATGCTCGCAAAACTTTTATTTATTTTTATACTCTTGTTAGTATAATATATATTTATGTACATGCATACAATATGTATGTAAGAATTATACGAGAACTAATATTAGTTATTTGACGAATTAAGCGAAGATACTCTGCCGTTGCACGAATGTAGAATATAACCCAATTCTGCATTTTTCGTTTGATTTTAGGCCAATGGTGGTACATTTTATAATTCCTTTCTCGAATATTACTTTTACCCTCCGCGTTTACTTTGTGCCTTCCTTCAAACATACATATGTATGTATATATGCACGAATGCAGCTAAGTCATTCGAATAGCTAGCGAAATAACTTGTTTTGTGCGATTTCTGTTGAAGTTTCTCCTTTTGCTCTTATTTCTATCTCTCACTTTATTTCAAGTTGTATTTTTTCCAAATTTATTTAATACAACGAAAGTCAAGGCTGCCCGCTCAAGGTATTTAAAATAGCTGTTGACTTTGAAGTTAACACGTCAACACACACATATTCATTCATATACGCCGATACCATGTAATGCAGTGAAGAGTAAATCTATTATACAAATACAAGAAGTATATTTGATAAAAAAAAAAAACTTTCCTGGTAACGCTATTTGCGTAAGTGTCTCATTTCAGGTGTTCATTGGTGTTTAAATTTATATAGGTAGACATTTTCATAAGCTATTCTTTTTCATTACTGGCGTAGGCACAGGTTACGCGATTATAGCCGAGTTAACAACCGCGCCAGTCGTTTCTTCTTTGCAAGTCTTCATCTTCCTCGGCTTCCTCCGGCTGGTACTGCGTCGAATACTTTCAGAGCTGGAGTGTTTTCGTCCATACGTATTCATACGTTAATTCGCTCAACTATATCAATGTTGTCGTATATCTCACACAGCTCATCATTCACCTTATGGTCAAAATAATCGGCCTAATGAGCGTACTATTCGCAACACCATCACCCACTTTGACATTCATTACATGTTAATATTCGACAGAAAAGACCACGTCCAGAACATAGTGAAGGAAATATAGCAGCCATAGCTGAGAGTGAACACGAAGACCGTGGAGAGTCGATTCGGCGTCGTTCGCAGCAACTCGGAAATGAACGACTTGAATATGTACGAAACACATATTGTGCCAAAAAAAACAACAGTTGGGTGTTATTTGTGAATCGGTGGCACCATTGCTCCACATTTCTTCAGAACTTATGCCAGTGAGAACTTAACCGTCAATGGTGACCACTATCGCGCCATAATAAACGACTATTTAATGCCTGAAAGTGAATCTCGTGATCTCCGTGATCCGATTGGCTACCAAGATCGTGTGACGTCATACCGTTAGACTTTTTCCTGTGGGGATATGTAAAGCCTAAAGTCTATACGGACAATCACGCTTCGATTCGGGCCTTGGCTCAAAACATTATGCTTGTCATTCGCCATTTACCGAGTATTTCGACTCGTCATCAAAAATTGGATTCAACGGAGTCCGAGACGTAGCCGCTGCCAACATTTGAAAGACATAATTTTCAAAAAATAAATGCCAATGAATGTTTTTTGGAATAATAATAAACATTCCCCATTAAATTGGAAGCTTCTGTGCTTTTTCTTTCAAAAAGTAAGGAACCTCGAAATGGATCACCCTTTATATGTAATTATATAATATGTATATAAACAATGTTAATGGCTCAGAAAATGTTTCCATTTGCTGATTTCGAAACAAATATCGTGTACATTTGAGTTCAACTACCATCATGTGAACTCGTAAAATGTCTTCTTTCATGTTTCTTGCACTTTTTGTATACTTTAAGACTACAAGTTTTCCCATCACAATGGCAAAACACCGTGGGAACCTATGATTACTTTCCGCTGTGGGAACGCTTGTATAAGTTGTTTCTGAAATAATAAATGAAAGAACTCTTAACTAAAAACCTTACATGCAGATTAATATGTGCTTCACATATGTATTTGGGATATCTGTCTAGAAAGATATGAGGCTTTGTGTGATTATTATCATCACTATTATCAATATATAAATACCAGCATACATACATATGTATCTATCGAATAACACCGAATTACATTCGAGAAACTGTTAAAAGTAAATCACTAACGCCTCCTAGGTAAGCTCTTATCAATGTTCAAGTAATTGTTTTTTTATTCCCTTTCCGCATATCATGGATGTCAGTCTGACAGTACTACCCATGTTCTCAAGCATAATCAATTCCCCGAAATGGTGTAATTTTCAAAGCTATTAGAGCGGATATGTAAACAGTTCAACGCTATAAAAACAGCTAAGCAAATCAACTCCAAATAAATGTAGGTGCGATTGTCGTAGAGTTTTTAGTAAAGAGACCGGCAATAATCGCTAAGTTGGTATTAACAAGCAAAGACAACAAACTTATACAAATAATACAGTACTGTTACATTATTATGTTACTTAATCGTGTTGATCTCTAGTATCTTAAGTAAGAATCTATGAAATGTGTGATATTTTGTTCATTATATTATTCAAGAGCGATTGTATCAAAGTAATCAACACATTTTCTTGGTGGTGCTGGTAAGCTTTCCCAAAACTCATGACATGTGGCATATTACTTTAGAACATAACAGGAAAGCTCAATTTTTCAATTTAGTACAATGAGCATACCGTTTTAATTAAACAATTGAGAAAACGAGTTCCAACACTTCGGAAGTCCAAAATAAGTAGATGTACATATCTCGTTGTGAACTTGCGGATTATTCAATAGAATGAACCTAACGGAAGCACTTTAATACCTTAAATGCGGAAAAGGTAAATGGGTAAAATGTCAAAAGACGCCACTTTCCTGCTTCCTCTCTCCCACACATACTCGTACACTACTACACATCGACGCACATCGCACAATAGGAAGCATTGCTGGCGCATTGCTGCGAGAGTGAAGCGTTGAGCGCGGAATTGGTGTGCTTTATGTTCTGCGCGTCGATCTCTAGACTGTAAATGGCAAATGGATAAACGGGTAAACGGATGCTTAACCGACGTTAGCGTTTAATTTAATTACTGTTTGGTGTAATTGTGGTTAGAAGTCACCGCATAACCTGGCTACAAAGTGAGCTGCGCTTATAAAAATTATTTAATTTTTAATATTTATCTCACTACCAGCATGTCGGTGTCGTGAATCGTGTTGTTGCCGTTGAGCGAGCGGTGCGAGAACACAGCATTAGTACTTACATATATTTATATACCCGCACTATACAACAATATTATTCACTCCACTGATTCTATATGTTTCGGATCTCCATATTTAAATGTAACGCGGTTTTTTTTTTTGAGTCCATTTAAGCCTAATTTTTGGAATTTTTGTTTTGTTTTGTAATAAAAGGCATTCTAAAGCGTTTTTTTATGACGCTTGACAGTCTTTCTTGAGAAATGCAAAATTTACTTCAGCTGAAATTTTTAAATAGATATTCTACGTTTTTATAATAAATTCATCCACTCTCAGAATTTTTCCTTTTTCGCCCTCTTCATTATTCATTTTCTGTTTTCAATTATTTTTGCTTTTTTAAATAATCGCAATACTTGCCACATTATTCCCGTTCATATACAAATTTTTACATATTAATTTTTAACCGAAATCTTTTTTGCGTAATTCCTCAACCTTTTCCCTGATTTAAGTTTACAGCTCTTTAAGTTTTCCCACTATTTGAATTGAGTCATTTAATGGAAAAAATTTAAAAAAAAATACCTTTAAATACATACCGCTATTTCGTACTTAGTTGCAGGGATGTGAATATTAGATAGTAATTAATGGTGATGTCGTTTAAGAAAACATGCAAGCTAATGCTTATTTTCACTGCCTTAATATGATAAATAAGAGGTATAACTTTAAGTTTTCGTCTTGTCGCTGATTCATGAAAGAATTGATGAAAGTGGTTGTGTTAATAATAGTGTTGCATAGTGTTTATATACATATGTATGGAAGAGATTTCCTTCCTTTCATACTCATCAATTTCAACTCGTTCGTCCGCTAAGCTGGTATAAGTGGAATACATATTCATGTGCTGAACACAATGCTCTCGACAGACAATATTTTGTTATGTTGCTGCCTTCTCACAAATGTTCATGTAGTCGGATTCACAACGCCATTTTCAGTTCACTGTCGTGCTGCTGCAGTCTGTCGCGAGTATTGTGTTCAGCACGTCATTGTTTTTCAATTTTCATTGTTAGTGCCGTTTGCCTTCTCTATAGATCCGATGTTTTTGTTATTTCTTTTTACTTGTTTATTTGCTGATTTCATTCTTATTGCGCATTGCTTTGAGCAAATACTTCCGCCAACAATTGTCGGCTTGTTGATCGCGGTTGCCGGTCGGCTGCGGTGACGTGAATTCAGGGGAATCGGGGAAAAATGAGTGACAAACATTATCACCGGATATTCGTTGCCTTGTTATTCATAATGACGGGAGTATGCCATGCATGCATAAAAAATGTACTACACATGGATCAGAGAGTAATTTAAAATTAACCGGCATGCGGTTCAATTATCAAATTAGTTCATACAGGTACTTACACATCTACTGTTAAATAATTTCGAATGAGGTATTTGTACAAGATTGCTTTAAGAACTACTGATATGTATATACTGTAATTCTTGCGTTCTCTAGCCTACTTTAAAATCAACAAAGTTCAGGCTGTAGAGTCAAGAGTTGGTCCACTAATGTATTATTATTGAATTTTATATCTGGGTAGATTGTGAGTTTGTAGAGCAGTCAAGTTGGCCTACCTTTCTATCTATATATGAAATAGCAAGTCGACTGCAATTATAATTGTGATTCTAATCATTGTGACTATGATATTGCTTGAACAGTGTTATCATTTCATCCGTTTCTATTGACTACTTATTAGCACTATGTGTGTATCGATTTCCTGTGTTAACGGTAGTAATAATGAATGGCTCACATTCAACAGCTTTAAGTATATGCATACATATATAGTATATAATCGCGCTCCTCCTACTTAATTGTACAACTGTGGACATAGTAAGTATAAATAAAGATCAATTCAATCAAAACATAGTTTTCTTCTTATTTACATCCTTCGACTGGGATTTACTCCGATAGCTTTAATAGTATACGAAGTATTTACCTTGTCCTAGGCTTAATTGTTACTCCTCTCAAAATTTAAGAAAAGAATTTGATAAAACATAGATTTGCATGTTATCTACATGACCAGTTATTGTTGTTGCTGTAACCGAGGAAAGCCTATATTTAAGTAACTTCAAGAACAGGAAAAATTTAAAAAATAAGCATGATGATGTACATGATCTCAGTAAATGTTACGATTTAGCGTTAAAAATTCCAAGGTCATATAGAATCATTTGTTTAATTGTCTATGCCATCAAATCTAGTTACGTATTAACATTTCTTGTTTAAATTTCAAAAAATCGAAATAAATAGACATCAATAAAAATCACTTGGGTCACACCTTGGCTACCACAAATTTCGCGCAAATTGCACAAACATCTCGACCTTCGTCATAGGTGGTTCCTCTTTGTTATACCAATTAGTTAGAAAACGTAAAATGCCGCCCAACATATCGAACATGCCCTCCAGTTCAAAGAATATCGAAAAAAGCCAAGAAACAACGGTTATTAAAGTGAGAGCAGACGCAATGCTCCGCAATTCTGTAAAGGATAGATCAAATAGAAGTACTTATAATAAAATGTGCAGGCATTACCTGAATAATTTTTAAATGACTTCTTTTCACACGGTAACGGCAACACCCTGAGCGGCTGTCTTCGGGAGCTGTCGAGCATGTCGCCAACTGTTTCGCGGGGCACATAACGACGAGGAATCTGTAGCGGCGGTACCACTGGCGGTGGATGATATGCGCGTGGTGTTAAAGCGGAGCAACTAGTGTTGATCTCTGTTTGAGTTTGCGCATTTATATGCGGTGAAACCGCTTTAGTTTTGGCGTCATCATTGAAGAAGCGTGTCGGAATTTTGTCTATATTGCGTGGTGTAAAAATCGGTCGCGTCTTCTGGTTGGAATGGCGACGTGAGCCCTATATGATAACATAATGTTGAATCAGATATTTAATTTTTGTTATTGTTCATACTTTGGAACGTTTGGTAGTGATGAGTCTCGAACAATCGTTTCCAAAACCAGAAATTTTCGTTGACGAAACGGTATTCTTTGGCATCGAAAAGACCTGAGAACACTGAGAAGCTACGGTGAATGGATTCAAATTCGTCTGCATATTATCCTCTTCCAGGTGAATACAATGTTTCTCGCCTGTTTCACTAACCGCAACCGCACGCGGCCCTTCATGCATAACGCTAGGATATTTCAAAAATCTTCGTAAATAAAATCACAACCAGTTGCAGAACCTTGCTCACGTGTCACCGATGAAGTTCGTCTTGGAACTATGATTCGCCATGGTATACGGACCTCGTTCATTTTGAAACAACTCAGTACGTGGACTGAGCTGTATGAGATTAATGGCAGAAGGATCATTGACAAAACTGCCGGTTTGTTTTCTGCAGAACGGATCCCGAACACATATGAATAAATTGCTGAAGAGCCCTGCAAATCAATATTTTGTTCGTACACTCACCTCGGCTTAGAGGACATTCGGCAGTATTTTAAGAAAGAAGAATGGCAGTTAAATATGTATACAAATAAATTTTTGTGTTCATATATAAAAGTATATTTTTTATTGCAAATCACAAAAATACTTGACACAAGACAATTCTCTGAAATTTACTGAAAAGAATGCTAATGATTGTGCTTTGTGTATGGTGTGTTTACTGACTTGGCTATTGAGCGCATCAATAATAAAGTTCACCTCATATATATGGCGATGAAAAATGTCCAACTTCTCAACATTTGTTAATTTCTATCGTTAAATATTAAAACGTACATATAAATATTTTCAGGCTTCAAAATTATCGATCTGGTGGTGTGTACGCACATTTATGGAACTGTAGCCGATATTGCAGTCAGTTTTACCTATTTGCGAAGCATCTATGATATTATAATTTACAGAATACTTGTATATGTGTACATGTAAATAAATAAAGCCCGATCAAATTAATTTCAGTAATGCAAGCATATGATTAACTGAGCAATATCATCCCCCAATTGTGAACAACCCAGAGCCATTTCTATGTTCACGAAGTGATCTTGATGAGTTAGAAACATAAATGTACTCCTGCCATCCAAATACTAAAAAATCTCCTTAATGTCGGAAATATAAATTTGACGGCAGCCATTGCCCTTTACAGGCGCTGACCGAGCACCATGGGATTACCTTTTATTATATTCTTCGTCCTCATGCATAATCTCACAACTCAATTGTATTTCTCTATACTTTTTTACATTTTCAATTGCTACTCTTGCAACATGTTGCTACAAAGTATAATAGTTTTGTTCACCTATGTACGTACGTATCACTTAAAACTAATCGAGACAGATATAGCGTAATGTAATGAGACAAGCAGAAATCCGGGTGACTGTCTGTCTGTCAGTAAAAAAAATTACGAATTTGTAGTTGAATGTAATAGTACCACTGCCACGCCCACAAAACACCATTAATAGAAAACCTGGCATAACACTAAGCAATAAATAAATTAAAAAAACTGTAATTTCGCACAGGGGATCGCAGTAGCGATCCACACCTGTGGAAAAAAAATTGAAAAACTGGCCGTGGTCCCTTCCTCTACTAGGTCTAATGTACATATCTCCTAAACCACTAAAGCTACAACAATCAAAATACTTAGCACAAATATTAAAAATTACTATAAGATATAATGGTACTGTTCAAAATTACTAAAAGCTTAATAAATCAATAAATTAATACGCCACAGCCATTAAAATAGAATGATAGGACCTTATTAGGGCCGGTGTGAAAATTAGACAATGGATGTGGCACCGTCCACTTTTTGGTGAAATGACATATCTCGGGACCCGACCTTCCGATTTCGACGAAATTTAGCACATAGCATTCTCCTCATATTGCATATCACAGTGTAAAATGGGCGAAATCAGACGACAATCAGGTCTACTTCTATCTAGAACAACTTTAAATTCTTTTACTTCCCCACAAATCAGAAAGTAATCAATACATATAAAGAGACACAATTTCGCACTATTAATTCCTTTTAAGTATGCCACCTTATGACTGTGAAAACTGTTCAAGCCCCTAAATACCGAATATGTGAACTGCAGTCCTCTAGTTAACTTTTGATCGAAAATATCGGCCAATGAATGGCATATACAATTCAAATTCCAAGAGAACGCTTTCCTAACAGTGCATCAAAAATGAGATACTTCCTGGAGCACCTACATATATACCTAACATAAAGATTTTCGAACTTATTTTTGACTTTATACTGCATATATCGGCCAATATTTAAGTTATCGGAATGAAAATTACGGAACGTGCTTTACTCATAGCAGTGTATTGTGCTTAAAATAGATAAAATTGGGCGTAAGCTTGACCGAGCCCCCATATACTAGTATCAGAATTTTCGAACATCCGACTGACTTTATTCCATATGATTGATGTTTGTATGTGAGGTACTTTAATGAAGCCCGGGAAGTATTTTTATAGTATGAGGCATGATAATAGTTAATAGATCAAATCGAGTCTCCCATATACTACATGTAACGATTCCCTTTTTTTTAATCAATCTCATCCTGAATATGTCGGTCAGTATATTAGTTATATATAACGTATGTAAATATAAAATGGTTTGGATTTCTATCATCTGCTTAACGGTTCGCACCTTAAGGTATTTCCCCAGCTTTGATTCCTGTAAGCGTATGAAATATTTGGTTGCACCCGCACTTAGCCTTCCTTACTTGTTTATGTTATTTTTGAATGTTCAACCATGAATGGAACCTTTTGCTCTAGGCGCTACGTTTTTGATTGATAGACGCACTCACACATACAGGTACATAGATGTAAACATGGAAATATATGTATGACTGTGCACTTGCATAGTCCTCGACCCACATAGACAACGGGCGGGGAAGCGGCTGTGATCTCTCATATGCTTTAGCGCTTTCTGTGCGGGATTTCTGCGAGATTTTATCAATTTCATTTGTGAACTTTTGATTAGCATCCATATATATATGTATGTCTCATATTTTTTTGAAGTTAGAAAAACTCAGTGGAGTTACTTTAGAGTGGAAAAGAGTTAACTAACGAGCCATGACCATTACTTTTCTCCGTAATATAGAATGCTCAATTTTATACATTAGGCCTAAATCTGCATTCAGCTTTAGAACTTATATCGCAGCTTGAATATCGTCATTTAAGGTCATTAAAAGTTGCTCTCTTTTCAAAACCTGTAAATTACCATGTACCATTATCCAATATAAATCCACAAAAAGTTAAAAGATTTTCCTTTACGTGTGTCTTCTTTTTAGGAACCAATTTTATTTATTTGAAAATTTTATAATTTCATATTCCTTTTTTATTTCTAACTTCGAAATTTTCTAATTAACAAAACTACTTACTGTTGGACTTATTACATATAACAATATATAAAATACAAAACAAGTACTTGGTAAAAAATACAAGTAGGATGTGCTTTAAATTCTCATTAAACTAATAGGACAGCGATGTTTTCCAATATTTACCTTATTTACAAATATTTATCTTTGCATATATAGTATGTGTGCCTATGTACATATGTATGGGTAGATGCGCATAACTGATACCAATTCACGAGTTATACATGTGCTAAAAGCTAGAATTTATGAAAGCAATGCCATGGCACGCGCCAATCGCACGCGAAAATCACGATAAAGCATTTTACCACCGACCGGCACCCGGCATAAATACATGTCGAGGCTCATAAGACACAGCGCCTTGCCGTTCATCGGGAACTTTTGCGGCAGCTCTGGCGTCACTTCCAGACCTTCCGACAGCGCCATGTTAATAAGCCATTTCCAAACATCAGCGCGTGTCCAATCGCGCGGGTCTAATGGCAGGCCATCGGAACCCAGTTGATGCGGTAGTATTGTGTTAAAATTACTATTTCTGTCGTTATTAGTACTGATATAGGTATCGTTGTTGGCTTTGCTATTATTATCATTGGTACAAGGCGTAGTAGGACTGTGCGCGGGTGTATGTGGCAGATGCAAGTAGGGATGTCTTAACGCTATGTTCCGTTTCAGCGTCGACGGCGAGTTCGCCTTGCTACTCCAAAGATGCTGCAACTCATTTTCATTGCGAAAATTGGTGCTGACCTGTGAGAGGTCAAGCGGCGGTACTCGACTCGCGTATTTCAAAAAACTCGACTCAACTTGCATGGTTAATGGAGATGGACAAGTTCCGATATAGTGGTTTACCTTCACTAGACCGAGCTTCTGCAAAGAGAAGAAAATTTACATATTATTTTATGTATACATGTATGTATTTTATACATACATATGTGCATTGTGCCTCCTAAACTAAAAATAATAACTAATGCGAAATTCGTAAAAGTAAATTAAGTTTATATTTAATAAGACAGCGAGAAAATGGAGAGATGAACTTTGAGAAAAAATTAGAATCTCTTATATTAATTGATTAAGACTCACAATTTAATTTGATTGTGTAAAATTAATATTTTATCTCTCTTTCTAAATTTTGAACATTTAATTAATTTTGATCATTCCTCGTTTTATTATAGCTCTGCACAATTGAATAACTTAGAAGGAAATTTTAATTAGAATCGAGTAATTACAACGACAGTACTCGTTGGTAAGTACGATATATAGATATGTCAAGCCGTTATGTGTGGAATACAATGCTTGCGACAGACTGAAAACGAAATCTGTCAAATATTAAAATAMACACGTTCTTATGGACGGACCTATTTTGACAGCTGCACGACTACACGACTGCAGGCCGACAGCTGCCGTTCTCGCTACGTTCAATTTGATCCTATATTTTCCAACGACAGTAGGGCGACAGTAGAGTTGAGAGTAGAATGGAAGATAGAGAGATGAGGTAGAGTGGTGATACCACTAATATGTAAAAWGTAAAATTACTCAAAGCTCTAACAAACCTGACGTTGTTTTACAAATAAAAACATAAAATAGCTCTGTTACATSATTTRTAATAACAATTGACAATTTAAACCCAATAAATTTACCTATTTACTTATTTTTTGCATAAAAATTTCACTTTGAACAAAATATTAAAATTTCATTGAAGTGCAAGGTATTAGTATGGTCACAACGAAATTGTGTACATGCAAAATAGACAACTTCGTTGTTTTGTGTACATGCCGGCCATTGTTATGTTGCTGCCCTCTCACAAACGTTTATGTAGTAGGATTCACAACGCCATTTTCAGTTCACTGTCGTGCTGATGCAGTCTGTCGCGAGCATTGTGTGTCGCACATAGCAAAGAATGATAATATACATTCATATGTATGTACATRCATATATACTCAAGCTATCATTTAAATACACTTTGTCAATCTATGAAAAAAATCAGATAACTATTTTTCAAGTTAAAACTAACTCACTAACTTATTCAAGTTATTCGACAATCACCGCCAGAAAACAGTACCTGATGTATGACTCAGCTGAGTTGAAAGAGAAGTTATCAGAGCGTTTTATAATTGACCCTTTTATCAAATCAGTTTTTAGTATACTCCTTTTGCTCTTCGCTTAAATTTACACAGTGAAATTGTTTACATGTCCGGCTTTGAAACCCTTTTTAATGTGCCACAACAGCAAAGAAAACTTCATCAAAGAGAACATAACTTTGATAAATAAACAATAATCGTAAATTACGATGACACCTACCCAAAATAGTAGGCTTTCTGCGTTTTTTTCTTTTAACTGTCACTGCTGTAGTGTTGTGTATACCTATAAGTGCTCATAAGCTGACATTCCACTGAAACACTAAAGGAAATGGAAACCCATAAAACGCTAATAAGTAGGTTTCATGATTCTTATAACACTTACACAATACATATGTACGTATATGAATTCATATACAAAGTACATAGCACAATGTGTTGTATGAATCACTTTACTTGCCATGAAATACATTTTAGCCACGGGATATAAACCTGAAAAGTCAACAGCATGGTTATTGTGTGAACAAATAGAGGTGTCATTTAGCTTTTGATCTTTTGGATAAGCGATTCATAGACTTTGGGCGCTGGGGGTATTAATGTTAGGTAAATATGTGATAAATAAAATTAATTTCAATTCTTAAACTTTTCAATAGGATTGGTAAATAAACAAATATAAAATTTGTCTCGATTATTATTTTAGGTTTATACACAATTTATGTCGTATACGGAAATTTATTTTGAGTTTCTTCGAGACAATTTAAAAACTCACATTGTTTTTCCATTCTTGAGGAAAGGTCAACAACCGTTGCGCTGTTATAAACACAAAACTTAAAATTATAAAAAACTGATAGAAGTAAAGTTTCAAGCGCTCACTCATGCGCCATTCACCTCAATTATCAAATGGGGCCGAAAACAATACAAGTAACGAGTACTGACCCGTTTTCTCACCATCCAGTACTAATAAATTATATTTTCGATTCATCTATTTTGGTCATATTAACGTGCCACATCCTAATGAAATGTTGCAAGAGATTTAGTAAGGTACCCATAGTAGGAATAGGTGTTGTCCGATTTTGCCTATTTTCGCACTGTGAAATAAGAACGTTATGTACTGAATATGGTTGGAATTCTGTGACAWATGATTTTACCTAAAAATGGGCGGCGCCGCGCCATTTTTGCAACGGCTGCTTTAAAGACCTTTTCAAAATTTTCAGTCCTCAGGTTGCCCTTACAATTGCATTTCTTTGTTCCAAAGTACAGTTCTAATTCTTAATTTACTGCTTAGTTATGGCACTTTATAGATTTTCGTTTAATAGCATTTTATGGGCGTGGCAGCGGTCCGAGTACACCTATCTACGAACTCCGGGTTTATTTTTTGGCAAGAAACATGTGCACAAAGTATCATTAAGATAGACAGTCAACCGGATTTCAACTTTTCTTGTCATCTTGGTGATTTATATATATGTATGTACATATATATACATATATATCGTTATAGGGTTATACGGTGTCGCTTAGTTTTAGATGATATATACAACCGTTAGGTGAACAAAACTATATGTATGTGACAACAGTTACAAGCGTATAATTACTTACTGCATCCTAGCAGTACAGAACAGAATACACTATGTTTACCAACAGTTATTCTTGCCATAAAGCTAAATAACCACGCTTGCATATATGTACATATGTACTTATACGTATTCTATACATATGTGCGTATGAACTTCCTGTAGTTTGTTGATTCCCTTATTTAAGTCTTATTCAAATTGTAAACCTCCTCGCTTTACAATTAATGTTGTTTCATTCCGAGCAACTCGCACTTAGTAACGAGGAACGCAAACAGCCGATCATAATGGCTGTTTGCCTTGAGCAGGAAGCGCAAGCGCATGGGCACGCGTCATCTGCACTTGAACGCTTCCGTTGCACGCCACGTCACGCCGCAGTCCCGAAAGCAACCACCCGCTGTCGATTTACACATTCATACGTATACAATTATAGACATTGAAGTATATAAATATTTATGTATTTACAATGTACTCATGCACAGTACACAGCTACTACGGAAGGAAAACAAAAAACTATAAAATGCATACATATGGACTCCTCGTGCACTCCACAGCGGCTGTAGTTGACAGGATGTACTCACACAACAAACAACGACTAAAGGAAATCAGCTTGTGTGTATGTATGTATGCGGCATAAAGCAACAGTAATAATTCTACGAACTTCCTCCCGCACAACTGTCACATTGCTCTCGAGCAATAGGTTAGTGAGCCGTCCGGTTGTAATGTCTTGCTTTGACGCTAGTCTTCGGCTGCGACTATGACTTTCATTCGAATGTCAAGGGGAAAGTTTCTTTCGGAAATCGGGAGGAAGAATTTTGAAAATGAAGTCACTTTGTTTTTATTTATATTTATTGTTCCCACAGCTACAGACACATCAACATGAACGCGTAAAATGTGTAAATAGTAATTTCTACCTATTAAGTTTTGAAGTTCATTAAAAAAATTTGAAATTCGTGGCTTTTCCTCCGTTCTTCCAGCTGTAGAAGTACATGGCTATGGGCCCGTCGGTAAGTATATATACATATGTACAAAGTAAGTAAGTACAGCTCTTCCAGCCGTAAATGAAATGTTTTGCTGAAAATGAAAATGACGCATTTCCTGCCATTTGGCGAGCACTTTCTGTTTGGCGTAATTTGATGGCGGCGCTTCCACCTTTATTTTTATCATTTCGAGCTTACAAATACAGGGGCATGCCCATATAAGTGAATGATATACTTTGATCGAATGTAGGCCATTGCTAAACTGAATATTTCAGCACATCAATCGATTCGAGAGATGATGTTTGTAATTTTTGTTGTTAATATTTTCTTTTTCACATGTATATATTAAAATCACTCTCTAACGATCTAGTTCTAAGTGAGGTGTTTGACGAGTTTGGCTTATGTAGTACCTTCGACTCACTGTGCAATTGGTCAGTGATTACGGTGCTTGAGAAGAACTTCCCAAATATGATGCCATTAGAATTGAATTAAATATAATAATACATAGATACACATATGTTTATACATTTTTATTATACATAAATGAAGGCACAGGTATTTATGTGCGGTGCATGCTTCATTCGCTTATCCGGCGACAGCTTCGCGCAGCCTCAATTATTTGCTTCCTGTGACAGCTTTGTTAATTTTGCAAAAACTAAAAATAAAACATAAAAATCTACAATAATACAGTAATTCTTGTTTTTTTATGTGCTGTGAAAAGTAAATTTTTACTCTGATGACTTTCTCGCTGAGACAATAAACACTTATTCAAAAATACGTATGTATAGTATGTATGTACATATATGTAATCTCACAACTAAATTTTAAAATGGTTTTCAAGTTTAAAGCCAAGAAAGCTGCTCAACTTTTTTGAAATATGCGCATACATACATACATATGTGTTGAAGCAGTGTGGCGTATCTATTCATAAACACTCCACATAAAGGTAGCAATTACTCTTGTCATATCATTACAACCTTAGTTTTGGAGAATTATGCAAATGTGCAATGAACAAAATTCTTCAATATTTAATGGAATGATCATTACATATACCATCATGCATTCATACATACATATAACTGCACATAACACGAGTAATCGAAGGTAATCGGCATCTCTTTCTCATTTTCAAAAATAAAGCAGAGAGATTTAAGCACACATATTTATACGAGTATGTACGAATATATGGGATGCCCTTTAAAGCCAGTTCTTTTCAATTTTTCAGCTATGCTGTCCGCTTTTAT